TCTGTTCTTCACTCAGCCAACTAAAGCAAAACATCTGTTAGCTAACCAAAATTCCACACACAGCCCCTATGAGAAACACCCTGTGCCCAGAAATCCACGCTGAGCAGGAAGTTCTCAGGGATGTATCTCTCTCTAGTCACACAGTAGCCACAGCAATGCCACAGCAGCTGCTACAAAGTCACCACCAGCCAAAGGATCTCCCCTAGGCCAGCAGGGATCCCCGGAGCTGCCCTGCCCCAGGCAGGGACTGTAAAACCTTTCCCTCCACACAGATGGACACAGCCCCAAAACTCCCAGCACCACCAGCTGAACCAGCCACCGGGGCGTAGCCCAGAACACACTCATCAAAGCACAATTATTAAAACAGCATGGCAGCTACTTAATTAACGAGATTGCATTTGAAACAAACTTACCATCTCTATCTTCATCGTGAATATTCAAATACAAGTATTCCAGTCCTCTTCCTTTCTTGCCATGCTCTGCTCCCTGTATTTTAGCCATGAGTGTGGTTTTGCCTGAACCATCATCACCTGCCAGTAAGTTTGTAGAGGAAAAAAAAGACACCTTCAGAATTACATTTGACTTCACAGAAAAGATTTTTTCACAACTTGCTTAATTAATGAGAAGCATCCTTGTACACTTCTGAATCACAGTTATTTGCTGTTCTCCTTCAAGTGTTTCAGCTAAATCCAGTGGCTTATACCAGAACAATAAGAATGAAGAACTATCTTATTCTCTATTATTACTTAAAATAGGCTATTATCTAACAGTGGAAATCAAAGAGAAAGCAGATCTATAAGCACAAGACAAGACCATAAATCAAATTACATAACCCAACTGTAACGACCCCATGTGCCAGTTTGCAACAATCGGTGTTTCAAACACACTTTGTTCCTATAAATAAAAAAGCAACAAACCAACACCCAAACTTACCAAAAACAAGGATATTCTTGCCCGATGGCAATTTAGATCTGGAGCGTGTGGAGACTTCGCTGAGGATGGAGGACCTGGGGAAGCAGCAGCAGAGCGGCGGCGTTAGCGCGGCCCGGAGCGGTGACAGCACCATGAGCTCAGCACATCCGCACCCACCGCCGGCACATGCGGGCTGGGCACGGCGGGGCTGTCACAGCCACAGCCACAGCCGCGCTCTGCAGCACCACAACTGTGCCACCTTCTACACAAGAGCTTCTGTGGTTTCTAAACCACGGGCAGGGACATCTAAAGTTCTCCTCCCTTGCGAGAGGCCGCAATACTGCAGAACATTACTTTCCAACTAACTCTCATCACAATCGATTGCTGTATTCGATATACGTCCTTCTGCCACGGATAGGTATTTTTCAAGGCGTTCTTTAGAAATGAAAGCCGAAAACACACGAGATGGCCTTGGCCGGAGCCGGCCCCGCGGACGTCCCGCAGAGCCGCGGTCCCGGGCCCCGCTGCCCCGCTCAGCGTCACCCCCGTACTCCCGTCCCTGGGCCCGCGGCGTTCCCGTCACGCACGCCCGGGCCCCCCGGCGCTGTCCCCGGGCCCCGCCGCCGCCGCCGCCCGCGGGACCCAAGCGCGGCCCCGACCGGCCGAGAGCCCGCGCTCCGCTTCAGCCCAGCGGAGCCCGGGCTCACCCGGCCGTGCAGGCCCCGGGCGACCGCGGGCGCTCACCAGAGGTTCTGCCCCTCGTCCTCCTCGCCGGGCAGCTCGGCCCCGCCGGGCCCGTCCGGCCCCAGCAGCTTCTTCTCCGCCAGCACCGGCGCCATCTTGGAGCCGCCACAAAGAGTGACTTCACCGGGCCACGAGGACCCCGCCCCGCCCCGCCCGCCCGCGCGCGCCGCCGGCCCCGCCGGCCCCCGCGCCCCGCGGCCGCCCCGCCGGCCCCGCGCGCGCCGCGCCCGCCCCGCGATCAGGCGGTGCCCGGGCAGCCCCGGCCGCGGCCCGCCCTGCGCGCGCCGTCCTGGGGCCGCCAGCGCCCCCTGCTGCCCGCGGAGCGGCACCGCTCGGGAACCGCTCGGGAACCGCTCGGGAACCGCTCCGGAACCGCCTCCCGCACCCGGCACCGCTCGGGAACCGCTCCGGAACCGCCTCCAGCACCCGGCACCGCTCGGAACCGCTCGGGAACCGCTCCGGAACCGCCTCCCGCACCCGGCACCGCTCCGGAACCGCCTTCCGCACCCCGGCACCGCTCCGGAGCCTCCTCCCGCACCCGGCACCGCTTGGGAACCGCTCCGGAACCCCTTCCCGCACCCCGGCACTGCTCCACAACCTCCTCCTATGTCCCGAGTACCTTCCCTGGCGCTTGCTCAGGTACCTTCTCCTGATCTTGGGGTCCTGCCCTGGTACTTCTCCCCCGGCACCTGCCCTGGTCCCTCTCCACAGCCACGGTCCCCACCCTGCCGTGCCCCCGCCAGTGCAGCCGCGGTGCCGGCAGTGCCAGGGCAGATCTGGAGGAGCACACCGTGTAAATTGTTGCTGATTGACCAAGCTGTCATTACCACCTCATCCTCACACCCCTAACACCCTCTGTTTGACCAACAGAACCAGGAGAGCATGTCAGGGTTTTTACAAATGGACTTTCCTCGACGGTTTGTCAGTCATTCCAGCATTTCAAAGTGCTGGAATGCTGCCCTGGGTGGCCCAATCGGCCTAAAAGTGACATCTACTATTCTCATGCAATTTTGGTTTTGCGGTGCCTGTTACATGTGGATTTCAAAGCACTTGTGCAGGAAAATTAAACTGATCAAAACTGTGCAGTCAGTCCAAAAGAGAGCAAAAGACTGACAAATTCACACCTCAGGTTTTTGCCTGTTCCTGGTCCATGACTTCCCCTTCAGATCCCACCAGAATGCTCCAGTGATGTGGCTCCAGCCCCTGCCTTCTGTGAGGAGGTGAAACACGAGCAGAGGCTGCCCAAAAAGGCAGCAGGAATTCCTTCCTTGAAAAGCCTCAGAACTTCACAGAGCACTGAACAACTTGAATAACTTTGACCTCAGTCCTGCTCCAAAGAGGAGACCAAAGGCTCCACAGGGCCTTTCCAACCTGAACTTTACCTAAGGTGAGGTAAATGGTCAGTATTGCAACATTCTCACCTTGTGGCAAGTAAAGATTCACACCTTACATATTTTAGCCACTTGAGACATATTTCAGATCTTGACAATATGGATACTGACACACATCCAGTGAAAGGATGAAGTCACAGATTGTCTGGACGAGGCTGGTGTCCCAGGGAAAACACCTGGACTGTGTGAGGGACCTCAGTATCCTCCTTGGGGACACTCCACCTCTGGCTCCCACTCTGCCCACAGTTCCACTGATACTCCACCCTGCTACTGGCAACACCTCCACTCAGAGACATCTTTTATAGGTGTTTCAATATTTTAATAATGAAACCCCCAAATTACAACAGCTGAAAACACTGGAAGGCATATTTATTGCATCATTGGCATCATCTTTATTGCAAGTCTCTCAGGTTTTGGTTACCTTGCCTGTTTTCAAGCATTTAAGCCACATCACAGTGAAAACCTAGTGCTAATACAATAACTAAACCTTTTCCATAATAAAATAACTATTGATTCATCCTTCCTTTATCAGAACAAGTAAAAAATACAACTGAAATACTAAGGCTATCACTGAAAAAGTGAGTTACCAAGGCTTTCAGTAAAGCTTCCTATAAAAAAGTGTAATTAGCAGAAATTCTGGTTCTGCTCACTTATTTGAAAAATACACCAGAAAACTGTCCAATTATAAACAGAAGCCAAATTCTACCAGTACCTGCTCAGTCCAACAGTGAGTACAGAATTTCTGCAGCAGTGAAAGATTTGCCTCCTCTGTGCAGCAGTGTTTAACCACAAATTCAGTGTTTTCTGTCAGAGACCTTTTTCTGCACATGCAGCATATTCAACATGTGACAAAATATTCCACCTGCTTTAAACATTTCATTAATTAAGAGGAAACAGATTCAGACACAACAACATTAACAGCACTTCCAGACATAAAGTATTCATTTCAGCAATATCTCCTTTTCTTACAAATAGTATAGAGCAAGGACAAAAAGTTAACTCAAAAATTGCACAATCAAATGCTCAAGAAGCTTAAGTTCCAAATTAATGTAATTTTTACCAATAAAGATTTTGTTGTCTATGATAGCATTACTTAAATAAACTGCCAAGTTATGGTAAATTAAAATTACAATGCATAACAATTCTGTCAGTGTCACTGAAAAACAGGAGTCCAAGCCAACCTAAATTCTCCAAGGGCCTGAGTTGTTCTGGTAATACCTCACTGTTACAAAGGCTGTTCTTGAACATTCTGCAACAAAGCACTTACAGATGATGTTACTGATGTCCTTTGTGGGCTTTTTTCATCTATAAAATGGAGATAAAAGAGAAAATATCAAGATAAATGTTGCCCCAAACCACTGCACAGTTACAGACCAGCTATCCGTAGACAAAGGCTTGTCACTTAATTGCTCCCATGGTCTCCAAAGCACAGGAGCAATGCTCCCTGTGTGAGGGATGCATGGATTTATCACTGGGAGACTGGGCAGAGAGGAGACCAATTTCCTGATAAACACAGGGATTAATTTAGAGTCCTTAATGACACTCTCATTCTCTTTGCACCCTGCCAGGTGGCAGTGGTGGGTTCCAAGGCTCTCTGGTCTTTTCCCTACTTTGGTTCTCTCTCTCCAAGAACCAGCCCTGATGGAATTACACCAGAGGCCATTCTCATGGGCACTGCACTGACACAAGGCACAATGCCATGGCTGCACACTCTGAAAGCCTGTCTTTATTTCTGCAAGTCAGCTCAGGGGCTAACGATGAAAACTGGGGTCCCAGCAGTTGCCAGCAGTAGAAAATTCAGTGCTGAGTACCTGCACCTGTAACCTGTAGTATTTCTTGGAAAGGTCAACGCTTGTCCGGCCTTTCTGGAAAGGGTAAGACCACAAAATCAAATTCCAGTGGTTGCCCATCTTCTGGACGCCTTTCAAAAGGCAGTTGATTTCTTCAGTTGTGAAATCTTTTCGGACCCTTCTCTTGCTCAAAGGTCTCGTGCTCATGGCCACAGAATACATTTCATTGCCCTGCAAATAATTATTTTGGTGTCATTAAGAATGATGTAAATGCACATGCTATTTTGCACGTGGAACTAACATATTACTGGCAATTCAACATTTAATAGTTGCACAGAAATGGTCCCACTGGCAAGGGAACAATGCTTCTCCAAGGTTTCTTCACTGTCACTACTTACTAAAATACAGTATTTTTCTGGGATCTTCATTTCTGTTGTGCCTACATAGTTTATTCTTTTAGCAGGTTTATTCCTTTAGGTTTCTGTTACTTCCATACTGTGCAAATCTTCATCAATACAGGAAAAATCAGACCTTCAGATCCACCATTCTGAAAATATGTCAGCTGAAAAATGCTGAACTCAATTCAAGGCTAAATTAGTGTGACTGGAGTAGAATCAACACAGGAATATTTTTTTAATAAGGTTCATTTTGCTACTAGGCTACTGTTAAAGGTGACTAAAAAAGAAACTACACAATTCCTACTGCTTTTATTTGGCCATTTATAAACATGTCAGTGCATGATTAGCCTGTGCATAACTAACCTCATCTTTGTCAAGTGAATGTGTGCAATTTTCTTTTAAATGCTGACATTTCTGGCTGCACATCTCTTTGACTCTCTGTCTCTTCTGGTTAGCATCCTGGGATTTTTGTAAAGCTACAAAATTGTGAACAAGGAGGCCACTTAGTCATGTTAAGCTAACTAAAATCTACTGAAAAACTGGATATAAAACTGTAAAGGAGCATTTATTCTAATTAATCTGAATATGTAAATGTTGCTTTGTTAGTACTATCTCATTCTCCTTAGATCTTTTTCTCATAATCCACATTAAGACATAGGGACTACTGATGAACCAGAAGCAAATAATAATATCATTGATGTTCAAGTTGATTTCTGTGAGAGAAAGTGTAACAGTTTATTTAAATTCATAGCCTTTTATCTCCAATAGCAGGAACAGGTACTTCTCTCAATGCCCTGACCTAAACCCAAATACTGATCTTTCAGATGTGCATATCAGAGAATTCACTTTCTGATAATACTCACAGTTTTCATAAGCAGGTGTCAAGTTATAGTTGCTAGTCCACCTAGTAGTATTCCTACTATATTCATCTCTCTTTGAAGTATTAGATTTGTCTTTTCTATTTGGAGTCAAAAGAATGCCTTAAAAAAATAAACAATAAAACATGACACACCTTTATGAGAAAAAAACCCAAATCATAAAACAGAGGTTATGTTTTAGGAATTAAAATTTAAGCAAGAGTTATTTTTTGAGCCATACCACTAATCTGGTCTTGGAAGAAAGACTGGAAAATTCAGTTTACTTCAGCTTACAGGAAATGTGTACTTGCTAAAGATAATATATTGTTCTAATGGGCTTTCAAGATGAAATACAGTTGCTTTGGTTGGTTTTTTTGTTTTAAAATTCCTTTGTGGTTTTCATAAGACCAATTAGTCAATTACTGAATCTGATGGGGAAAAATATAAACAAATTTTAAAATCAACCTACTAGCTTTTACTGGGCATAAATTAAATAAAATAACCATGTACATGAACAAGGCTTTTGACAATAAGAGTACTAAAAATAAATTTTTGGTGGGAATTTCAAAATTCAACTTTCAATTCTCATTTCAAAGAATTCATTCTTAAGGATTCCCCTTGTAGCTGAGTATCACAGGCCCTAAGTCCTTAGCAGAGCTCCCAGCAGGAACAGGAATGAATCTAGTGGAATAACATGTTTGGAACTGCATAAGGAGTGGTGCTGAATCCAGGTTCAGGCAGCTAAGCTCTGCTCAGAGCCTGACTAAACCTCTCCAGTTTAGAAAACAATGCCGAAAGAAACTGAGGAATAGCAAATGCCATGGAAGTAACCCTGAGAGGATTCAAAATAGGATCAATACAGCAAGTGCCAGATAACTTTGCAGGGAAATAATGTGCATTACACAATTTCATTATTATAGAGTATGCATTTTCTGGCCTAATAATATACAGATTGTTCTCAGAATCTAGAGGGAAAAAAAAATTTTCTATTCACAGTCTCCCATGATAAAGTTCTGCAAAAGACAGTAAGGGCTTTTCACACTAGTTTCTGAACCAAGCCCTTACTTTGGAAACGATCCTTCTTGCTCCTAAAAGTTGGTATTTCTTTATGCAGCCTGTCTTTCTCCACTGAGGCCAGCAGCATTTCTGGAAAATATAAGATGAACACCAGTACAAATGGCAATAAGTAATAACTGTTTAATTTTCAGAATTCATTCTTTAAACCAGAAAAAATATAGGATGTGCTTCTATTTAATTCATGAAGATCTCTAAGTATCCTAGACTCATAAGTGTATCAGGAATGGTGTGGCCAGCAGGAGCAGGGAGATCATCCTTCCCCTGTGCTCAGCACTGCTGAGGCCACACCTTGAGTGCTGCTTCCAGTCTGGGCCCTCAGGTTGGGAAGGACCTTGGGATGCTCGAGAGCATCCAGAGGAGGCAACGAGGCTGGAGAGGGGCTGGGAACACAAACCCTGTGAGGAACCCCTGAGGGAGCTGGGGGTGCTCAGCCTGGAGAAAAGGAGACTCAGGGGTGACTGTATCACTCTCTACAGATCCCTGAAAGGATAGCTGTAGTCAGGTGGGGTTGGTCTCCCCTCCCAGGCAACAGCTGACCGAACCAGAGGACACGGTCTCAAGCTGCACCAAGGGAAATTTAGGTTGGATACTAAGGAAAGTTTTTCACAGAATGAATGATAAAGTTCTGGAATGGTCTACCTGGGGAGGTGGTGAGTCACCATCCCTGGATGCATTTAATATAAGGCTGGATGTGGCACTCAGTGCCATGGTTTAGTTGAGGTGTTGGGGCATGGGTTGGACTCGATGACCTTAAAGGTCTCTTCCAACCCCGTCATTCTGTGATTCTGTGAATACTGAATGAAATTACTTTGGTGTGATGTCATACATTTACTCCCACATATTTCAACTTAACACATTCCTTTCTCTTAGGACTTGACTATTTCTGGCAAATGTGAGAGTCTTATGAAAGCCTATAATGAGCATCTGTCACCATGGCAAGAAACACACAAAGTCCTTCTAAACAGGAGTGGCCAGTTCTGATCTCATTTAGTACAAATCACAATAAATGAAATTCAATGAGTGAGTTTCAAACAGCAAGACAATCAGAAGTAAATAAACAAAAGTTCAGAACTGTAAATGCCATTCTAAAGCAATGGTTCCAAGTACTGAACATAAACTCCGAGTTCTGATCTCACTTAGTACAAATCACTGTAAATCAAATTCAATGAGTGAGTTTCAAACAGCAAGACAATCAGAAGTAAATAAACAAAAGTTCAGAATTGTAAATGCCATTCTAAAGCAATGGTTCCAAGTACTGAACATAAACTCCATACTCTGGTGAGTTGCAGATCTGTTGCTGTTACCAGCAGCCACCCTGCGGAGCTCCCCTCGGTATCTTTCTTCAGCCTCCAGGATAACTCTGTGGTGCTCACACCTATGCAGGCATCTCTGCAACATCCTGGTGAAGGTTTTGCTGTTCAAGGACAGTCCTCCTGCTGTACAACCTGGGAAAAACAGGATATTGCAGAAACAGCAATCACGGCTTCTAAAGGAGCCACCACAAAGTTCAGGGTTTTATTTTGCTCACTAGGATCAATTTGACTTCAGGTTTTCCATACTCATGACACTTTTATGTGCCTTCCTGAAATACTTTGTATTTGTTCTCTTAAAAAAAAATTGTTTTCAACATTTTATGGGACTAAGTTATACTGCACTTCCACTGCAGAAGGACTGAGTGGGGCACGGATCCTCTACAGAACTACAAATATTGGTGGGATGGGAAGAGACAGGCCTCAGTTCCATTTGCACATTCATCCAGGAGCCAAAATATATTATGTGCCATATATTTTTTTTTAAACTTTGTGTTCTAACAGTTACCTGTATTAATCTGAATCAATGATAAATCTAGTTTAGGCATGAATGGTCTCACAGGAAGCCTTGCTGTTCATTTTTGAGGACATTCCCTAGGGTAATTTATGCTTTAAGATATCCTTGGATGCTCTTGTGGATGCTCTCATACATCAGCTGAAGGAGAACTTGTGTGAGGAATCACAGGAAGGGCACAAGTCCATATCTGTAACATTGTGCCTTAAGATAAAGCAGTGCTAAAGCTCAGCTTGAATTTAGTTTGACAACTCGGATAAAAACAATGTTCAAACGTGAGTTTTGGGCTGCTTTAGGGGTTCTTTTGTTTTCTGTGGGTTTTTGTTCTGTTGAGGGTTTTTTAAATAAAGGAACATTGGCTTGATTACAAAATCCACTCACAAATCCAGAGTACCACCAGCATTCTCATGACCTACTGATGGAGCAGGCTGAGGAATCAGAGCCTGGGGTAACAGAGGGCTGGAGCCGTGGATTACCATGAAACAGCAGTGAGGGAGAGAGAGGGGCTGCAGAACACTGAGGAGGTTTAGCAGGCAAAGAAACGAGGGAAATGAGCAGGGCTACGTGTTCTTCCTCCCTCTCTGAAGGCAGAGAAAGGAGGAAAAAACCTGCTCAAGTATTCTTCTAATGACTCTTCTAATTAATTCAAGTTACTGTATGTTCTGTTTGTCAGCAAATCCCCATTATTACATGGACCAAAACTGCAATTTGTCAGTTTCATCTCAATATTTGTCTTTTATACTGGAGGTAGAAAAAAGGAAGGGAAAGGGAAAGGGGAAAGGGGAAAGGGGAAAAGGGAAAGGGAAAGGGGAAAGGGAAAGGGAAAGGCTCAGGTTTTGTTATTATGTAAGAGGTAATAGAAAAGATGTGTTACAATTTCTGTCAAGACAATCCACTTACTGCACTGCTGATTCTTTAAGGCTTCTTTATGTACACTGGAAAGAAAGATCTAAGATAATACTTACCCAAACACCTTAAATCTGCAATTTTATGGGATGAAGATATAGCTGAAGTACTTTTGACTCTCTCAGTTTTCTCTGAGCAGAATGAATGTTGACCTAAATGAGGGAGGAAAAAAGTCACTAAGAAATACAACCCATCTTTTGCCATGGTAATCATGCATCAGCATAACTACATCCAACTGCATTTTCTATTTGTAGATTATTAAAGTATAATTAATAGAACAGCAGAAATCCAAATGAAATTTCTCAAGTTAAATGCCTCACATTCACATTTCTGTAATTCCAGAATAACCGTGTTCAATTAAATGTTTTTTCATCACTCTCCCAAAGGATATTACCTCAACTTGTAGATAGCAAATCAGCCCAGTAAACCCATATTCCTTAACCAAGTGCTATAAACTTTATTTTTGTTTGGAATCAAGTGCTGGAAAATGCAATGTATTGGAATAAAACATATTCTCAGTTTAAACAGGTGTAACCTGGAGATCAGCTGGACACCTGTAAAGCTCCCATTCTAGCAAACTCTAATCTAATGAATACTTAACAATTTTATAAATTAACAGGAAAGTAAACAATGAATAAAGATTTGACTGAACTGATCCCAGTTCTGAAATCAATGTATCAGACCAGGATTAATGCAAATCTGGAAAACTTTTCTCTTAAACACATGTCCATCATGTAGGAACAGCATCAGGCAAAAGTCACTCTCACAGGCAGGTTCTATCCCAGCCTTACAGGCACAGCACCAAACCTCCATTTTCTATAGTGGCTTTCACTGGTCAGTACAGATTAAACACTAAACTTAATCTCTGATACATTCATTTGTACAATTAAAATCAGTTTAAAAAAACAAAGCTGAAATAGGTATTAGAAGAAAAGTAGGATAAATGTTCTCCTGCTAAAATTGTGTACAATATAAAATTCCAACACCATGCAAACCCGTTGAAGGATATTACACATAAGGCACCTCTGTCATCTAATGATACATAACAAGTGATAAAAAGTAGTGATAAATGTACACAAAACTAATTAAAATCTCATTAAGAACAAAATCAGCTCAGAAAGGAATATGTGTAGCTATTTGTACCTGATGTGCATGTCTGTTTCATATTTCTAACAGTCTCTGCTGGTTGTTTAAATAACTGTTCACTGGGAAGATCAAAATGTAAACAAATTAAAACCAATAGACCAATAAAAACAATGTACATTTACCTGCAAATGAATACACACATTCCAAGGGCACAACAAAAACCCATATTAAATATATAAAAGAAAAACTCTAAAAAAATTATTCTAATTATCCCAAGTTACTGGACTTATGGCACCCAGCATGTAATCAGTGCATGATAAAACCTGTTTCCCAGAGATCTGTGCCTGGCATTCTGTGCAGTCTGTTCAGCAGGGAGTGCAGAGCTATCACTGGTTTCCAGAGTAAATTGCAATTCAGATTCACATAAAGATTACTAAGTGCACATAAAGCCCTCACAGTCTTCAGAATACTGTACCCTTCACCATTTGCAGCACTCTAAAAGGCAATTGGTTTACTTCTTTTCTTAGATTAATTAACTTCTGTGCAACCAACACACTGCCAGGATACACTGATGGAGCATTTTTGTGTCCCTGACTCCCTCTGAAAGCCACAGGAGCAAGAAGCCTGATCCATGGTCACCTTTCAGTAACTCCTGTGTTCACACAAACACATATTCAAAACCAGATTTTTTTTTAAAATTCATATTTTAAGAATTTTGTGCATCAGAGCCCAGAACAACAACTAAAGCAGCTGTGAAATTATGCTAACCAGCAGCAAAGCAAAATTTACCTCAACGTACCATGGAAAATATCCAGGCTCTTGGTGATTTCTGTGCTAGTTGCAAAGTAACAATATAATATCATCAAACTGCACAGAGCAAGGTGCAGTCAGACACACAAAAAAAGCACATGAAAAATGTGGAACTCAAAAAGTCCAAAACAAAACATACCACCACCCCCCCCACGCCGAAAATGTAGTTTTGCTTATACTTTTCCATTGACTGTCTTGAGGAATATTCCAGATATAAACTCAAGAGAATGGAATCTGTATTTATCATTGCAAGTCAGCTATAAATAATTTTGGGTTTATCAATAGGAAAGATAAACACAAGCAGCAAAAGACAATTAGCCTCTGTGTGAGAGCAATGAGCAAGAGAACAGTTCCAAATAGGGCTGTTCCACCACTGGAACATAAGGGGAGAACAGCAGAGGTGCAGAAACTTTTCCCCCTACTTTGCAGACACTCCAGTTTAGTATTTTTCCAAGCAGTTCTCTACCTGTCGCTTCCCTAGTAAGTGCACACTATAGAAACCATTGTAGCTTTGTCCAAACCAACAGCTGAAATCTTGATCTGTTACACCAGTGAGAATTTTAGGGCAAAAGCCATGGATGATTCTCAGCACTATGCTGAAGGCATTCAAATGTGCCCTAGAAGAGGCACTCTGTCCAACACCAGCACTCAGAGAGCAGCAGCTTTACAATGACTGTAATCTTTGATCTGTGACCTCAAAAACAATCTCTGAGGGGCCACCAAAGGGCTACATCTTCCACTAGGAAAAACACCCATGGTTGTTTACAGGTAATTTAAACACCTGTCAATCTGGAATGACTAAAGAAAAGCAACTTAAGTATTTCTGCTTAGGTGTAAAATTCTCACCCTGCCTGAAGACCAGACCGACTTTTTCCACAAGCAGTTTTCCCATTTATATTGTGACTTTGAGGCACACTGTCTGTTTGCAGCTCAGTGACTGAACATGGAATGTTCCTCTGTTCAGTCTGTCTGGTAGAAGCTGCATCCATAGTGTTCACTGTCTCATTTTTTTGTGGAGCAGAAGTTAGAGATGGAGCAAGAACCTGATTATTCAACTTTGAGGTCAACTGTGGACAACAGACGACTTTCTGTGCTCCTTCTGTGTACTTCTTTGGATCAACAGGTTTCACTTCATGGGATTTTAATGCTTCAGAATTGGCTACTGAAGATTCATCTACAAATATTTCTCCTTGCACTCTTTCCTGTATTGAAAAGTACTGATTAGTGACTATGTGAGCTCTATAAAAATGTTAAATAAATTCAGTGCCAGGATTAACTAGACAGTCTAACTCTGACAGTTAAGCAAATTCCAGAAAACCCTCTGACTGAGCTGAGAGCCAGCAAGACAGCAATGCCACTGAATGTGTTGAGGGGTAATTCCTAAATGCTAATTTCAGGCTGAAGCAAGGAATTTGCTACTAAGGCACTGCTAGAAAGTACAAGCCATCTAAATAACTCATAAACTTGCTGTTCCACACCCACAGATACATAGCAGCTTTAAAGCACAAGGAGAAAATGAAACAACTTTATCTCAGCCTATGTTTGCATTCTCCTTTATCATCTATCATACAACCCTGAGCATTTCATGCATGCAAATATTAAAATTATATGTCTGAATATCCAGCAATTAAAAATTAATTCAACTTCTTTTTCCATCTCATAGAAAATCTGGGGTTACAATAAACAAGAGCACTTCATACAATACAGATGCCTCCATTCTCTGCACACCTGTAACTCAGTCTGATCTACAATACTGATAAAAGCTGCAGGTTGTAGTTTCACACAAATCCAATGTTTTTTCCTGGGTTTTTTGCTCACATGGAAATTATCTTAAGGATTTACTTTGGCTTTCTCCTTAAACTCTGGAAAGGTGTGATTAGTTTTATACTATTTTGGTAAATGGACCAACCTCATTGTGCTGTTTTTCAAGTGAGTTTATTCTGTGTAAAATTTCTTTTGCTTTCTTCCAGTAGTCTTGCAGACATCTTTTTCTGACTTGCACATCCAATTCTTCTGCATTGTTCACATTTAATGAGTTATCATATAATTTCAGAGACAACTGTTCAGCTTTATAAAATATAAAACAAGATTAATATTTAAAATTTTATCAAGTAACATTTTGAAAGTATTTATTATATTTAGTATGCTGAGGGACAGCCCCAATAATTTAATGCAAAATAACAGTTTTTATAAAACTTAAATTTATACATAATTGTTAACACACTTGAAATATACACTGCAGTTACAAGAGGTGACCTTGCAATTACAGCTCCTATAAACAGTTTTCACAATGATGCTGTGAAAAAAAAAAGCTTTTTTTATCAAATTAACTCTGGCTTCTTCACCAGTATGAGTCTCTGCTTTTTTAAAAAACAACTCCACATTAATGGACACTACAAATCTCCACACCTCCTCAATCTTACACAAACCTCTCAGTTGTGCTTGCAGCACAGAAATGTAGATATCTGCTTGTTTTTTCCTAATTAGCATTTGCACACCTTCCACACTCTAGAGATTACAGGACAAGGTCTCCCTGTTTCATGGGAGGGATTGTACAGATAAGTAATAAAAAAACTCAGAGGAGGGACCTAAAAATACATCCTATTTTAGAAAAAAAAAAGATCAAGATTTCTTAATATTAGAAATTAATGTAGACACAGTGATTTTGGGCTTGATTATCTCATGGTTTATTCTCTCCCTCTAGTGGTACATCTCCAGGAAGAGAGTATCCACTAGGTGTTAAATGACAATGTTTGTATTTTCCACACAATTTATAGATGGGAAAGCTTTAAGAACTGGCCCTACATGGAGAGGTTTCACAAATGCATTTTTGCAACACTGTTGGAATTTTTACTTCTCTTTTTTCTGCCTAAGTCAGTTCTTGAGGACAAAAAAGCAACTTTCTGTGCAGAAAACAAACATCTTTTGGAGTACACAGAATTACAAAGCTGCTGCAGTTAAAATCACTTGGGGAATCAGCAGAACACAGAGATGGAAACAATCACTCTCATTTTTAAAGCAGTAACAGCAAGCTTACTCATTTGTTTGCAGTTCTGCAGCACAAAAGTAGCAGCTTTGATGAGTTCCTCGTCCTGAGATTCTGTCAATACCTGAATCATAAGTGGCAGACCATTGTTCTGAAGCAGCTCACACTGGTTCTCTTCTACAACAGGACATGGTAAAGGAAAGCTTTGGTTTCAGCCCCACACACCTTAACCTTACAATAATTTTAGGGGCCAATACTGGCAGCTCTCTGCAAGTTTCTGTAGACAGAGAGATTTGCATCCCAGACCTGAGCCTGCTGCAGGGACAGCAGGAGTTAACATCCCACAGGATGATTTGACCAGAACTCAGATTGCTGTAAGAAAACTGAAGGATGACTGAGACAAATTATACCATGGAGTTCCAAGCTCATTTAATTGTGGCCTAAAACATTTGAATAATGACTCCTGTATTTCTTCTCTTCCATTACCTGCTCTTGGAGTAGATATGTGACATTTCTGTGAGGCCTGAGATGAGGAAATATCAAAATCTCAAGGTTTATAATGAGCAAAATCAAATTAGTAGTTTAATCCTGGTCTAGCCAATCTGTTCCTCCTCATTTATTATATAATTAGCTGAATTTTTATTGTGATCTCATTCACATATGTATTCATGTAATTGATAACTTGCTAAACATAGTTCGTTCTCCATTAAACTCAATTTAAAAAAGAAATAAAAAAATTTAACATTTTTATTTTGACAGTGTTGACATTTCAAGAAAAACCTTTTTTCTGTTGAAACAATTGTTCAATAATTTTCAAATAATTTTTCGATTCAAAAGACATTTTCCATTAAGTCTTGTTTCACTAATTCTTAATGAAAAAATGTCTGTTAAAACAAATTTATGACCGATTGAGCTAATTATTGAACATGTCATTGGCACTCAGAGGATGAAAATCAACTAGGATTTTTGAACATAAGGCCTTCATCTTGTTTATCTAAACATACATGAGAAAAAAAAGAAGTACAAATGAATTTCCCTTTCTCTTTGCTTGCACTACCACAAAACACCAACTGAAGTGCTGTATTTGTACTAGATATGCTTGGACAAGCCCTGAGGAACATGACAAAAACATTTCAGGGCTACCTGCTGCTTCTGTGTCTTGAAACCAATGCACTTCCATGGCTTTTACAAATAGCACTGGCCTTGTAAGCAGTGGACAGAAGCTGTATGTGCCAAGGACCATGAAAAAGAGAGCTCAAGAGAACTCATTTGCTGTGTCTGCATTGTAGTAGCTTCCAGCTCTGGATTAATTATTCCCTGTGACACCTAAGCCCAGCTCTGAATTCTTGCATATTTAGTCTACTTTTTTAAAGCTACTAAAGACACTTGCTGCTTACAAGCTTTAAAATTTAACAATGGAATAATATAGAAAACTTTTTGTCCAAATACTGACATTGTATTATTTAATAGAACTCTCTCTCATGCCCCAGCCTTGATGAAGTGACATCACTGGGGGAGTCAGGGGATGAGAATTTAGGAGAAGCTGACAGGGAAAAAAAAGGCAAATCTTACCACAAACTTCAGTGCAGTGTCCAATTGTTAGAATAATACTGATTTTTTCTCCTGTGCTCAGTGTCTCATTGGACAGCAGCTTCAGCAGCTCTGACACAGTGTGATACTTTGCCAAGACAACACCCATGGCAGCTGTTTGTTAAAATAATTGGAAGGAAAATAAACGAGATCATGAGTGTACAGGAATTGAATTCTACAAGCCCCTCAAAGCCTTGGGCCTGCTCAGCCCTGCCCTGCTCCACCTGGAACAGCTCACATTGCCCCATGCCTCCTGTGCTGCTCCCAAATGCAGCCCTGCCCGTCCTCCCAGCCTGTGCTCCATGGAGGTGAGGCAGAAGATCTGATGGATGAGGGCTTTGCACTGTGCAGCTTTTGCAGATCCCTGCTGAGTTTCTCCTTTATCAGCTCCAGCATGGAGCCAGAGAGAGTTGAATAAAACAACAGAGTATCTGCCATAAAAGAGCAGGGGGCAAGCCCTTCCTGGCACTGGCAACACCCCTGCTGGTCCATCCACGCTGAGGCCTGGTGCTGTCACACCCAACTGATCTGAAACTACCCTCACAACTAGTGCAGGATGATGCTTTTAAACTTTTGGGAACTTCCATTTGAAGCTCTTATGGCAGAAGTGGGAGATGCACCAACCATGGCCACAGCACAGGTTGATCAGCATCACAGGTTTCTGCAAACCTTCTGTGGAAAACACAAAAGCTCATCAGCAGAGCAGTACCCAGCCAGCAAACCAGAGCAGAGTGTGCTGTGCAGAAACACCACATTGGTTCAGCTCCACCTCTGAATGACTAAAGCTTCCTTAAGCTACACAATTTATTATTCAGGCACAGGCCTAACTCCAGGATCCACGACTGGTCAAACCCAGGCCCAGAGCTCAGCTTTACTTACCCAGCACAGGCTGTAGCATCTTATTTTTAATTTTTAATTTTCAGTTGAGTTTAAATTTCACTGTATTTATTTTAGCAACAATGGGACAGTAATCCACCTCAGATGAACTGAATCACTCCCCACTTACACCTCTGAGTTTTAAAAAACACTGCAACATCCACTGGGATGTGTATAACTTAACTGCCTTTAAGCATTCATTTCTGCAACTTTACCACCAGCACAAGACTTTAAAAATTGCATTTTAAAATTACTATAGATAACAAATGTCTTTCCACTCACAGTTATTAGCAATACAGGCATCCAGAGTCTTTGTTACTACCACGGCAAGTTTCATGCTGGAGTGACTCAAACAAGAATCATGCATAAGCTCAAGGAGAACTTTGGCTAATGTATCCAATCCTCCAATAGAAGCAAAATACTTCTGCACATATGCTTGGTGGAAAAAACAAAAAATGTGATTTAAGCGACAGAGTTTGCAAATTATTTTAGCATTTCACTGAGTAAGTCCATTAGAGTTTTTCTGTGCACATGTTAGTCATTACATTTCTTATACAACAGAAGCTGGATATACATTAATCTCATAAAGAAATGCAGTGACTGCATATAAAATAGTTACAGGAAAACATGACCCTAGTATGTGCACACAAATGGCAGACATCACGCCTGAGTTCTACCAATCAGTCATGTAATAAGGACTTTAATTTAGACACACTTTTAATCAGAACAGCTCCAAACAGCTTTACTGAGCCTAGGAAATGTCACCAGACTGTGGCTATCTGTGGACATGAGCACAGCATAGTGTAAGTAAAGATGTGGAATACAGTGGTCAAAGTCGGAAGAACAGCAAATGATTTTGTTAGAGATAGAGAGAAATTGAAAAGAAAGAAAAAACCATTTAGCTCTCTAATTAAACTTCCTTTTATCAAATGCAAAACTGTGTAAAGCTTGAGATGCACTTACAGTTATTTGCAACTGTGAGACCAAGAAATGAACAAATGGGACGAACTATCTCAGGCTCTGTGCAAGTCTCCAGCCACTCTTTGGCATGGGGGAAAACTGAACAGCAAATGTTTTGATTATCTTCTGCAAAAGTAAAAACAAATTACCCCAAATCAAAACACAATCATTGAAATCAACTTCAGCTGAACAGTAAAAATGAAACCACAGTGTTACCGATTTGGAGAATATCTCTGAACTTCCTCCACAATTTTCAGAGCAACACGTACCGTTCTGGGGGTTGTTGACACAGGCACAGAGAGTGCTGCACACTGAGCACCAGAGCTGATAGCAGGGATCAGAGTTTTCATCTGACACATTCTTCTCAGACGTGGAGAGAGTTGTTCTGTTCAAGACAATGCAAGCAAGTCCCAAATAGTCAAGGAAACACAGCTGCTAACCAGTCCATTATCTGTCTGTTTGAATTGCAACCCTGTTTACCTGAACAACTGCAGCAGCAGGCTGATGCAGCCTGTGTCTCTGACACAGGTTTGCCCATTTTCTAAAAGAGAACACACACAGGACTCCAGAGACAAATGCAATTGCAGACAAAATCTTAACAGCAAGTTTAATTTACATGCATACATTCCCTTTCCCAAGCACATATCCTCCCCAGAAGGAAATACAAAATCATGTCAACATGTTGGTAAATAACCTTTCTATTCCTTCCATTCTAGTCTCTCTTTCTAGACACTCTCAGAAACTATGGGTTTCCATTTGCAAACTGTATTTTTAGAACTAAACCACGTTCTGCTGTTTAAGAAAATCCCAGTGAACAATGACATACTTTGACAATTCAGGTTCAGCTACATGCAAACATTCATCTTTTTAAATTAACTTCACCAAAACATTGCTTATTGACTGTGCCAAATTTTGGACTGCAGATCGGCAAATAGAAAAGGAGTGTTGTTGTAACACAGAGAAAAAAACCCCATTTTTTTACTTACTATTATTTGACACCAGAGCTAAGATGACATAAACAGACATTCTTTTCAAGTTCACACCAGAATCCTTTTTAATCAAAAATAAAATGAGGTCTTCAAACAGTGCAGAAGTACACAAAGTCTGTTGACAATACACTGGAAACAGAAAGTGAAAACCATTAAGTGCTAAAGTAAGCCACTCACCATCCTAAATTATTAAGTCTCAGTTGTGGCCAGTACTTGGGGAGCAGAGACAGGGCAGGACTATGAAGTGCCTGAGGGCTTCCCCCTGGCAGTGAGTTCTACACCAAGCTTTGGAACAATCCAGGAGCCACTGAACACATGCTGCTGAGGGAGAGGGGAGTGCAGGTGTCTGGAAACTCAAAGACACTCTGTGTGCACAGGGGAGCAAGGCATTGATCAAATCCAGGCATGGACAGGGCAACTGGGGCACCCTCACTGCCCCTGCTCCAGCTGACAAGCTTCTAGTCTCATTTTGTGAGACCAAAAGAAAATGGAGACAAAGCAGGAGCACAAGTAATGACAGGGAGCCATAGCACACTCAGAAATACAAACAAGATTATTTTTATTACCATTACTCTCTATAATAATCCCCAGTGTAAATAAAGCTGCTTCCTTTACGATGCAATGAGCACTGGACTTGGCAAGGTCATTTATAAACATCAAACCACCAATTTCTCGCAAGTATTCGCTCGCTTCACCTACAAGAGGAAAAAAGAGCAGACACTTTTGCTTTTGTTTCTCTGCAAAATGAAAGGCTTCTAAGATTCTCCAACACCTCAAGCCTTATGTCCTCTAGACATTTTTACAGTGCCCACCAGTTCTTGGCATATTTGGTGATCATAAATGACTGGTTCTAAGGAAAAGCCTTTCTTACTGTTTTGCTGGCAAATGGAATAGATAGTGATCAAAGCCTCCTTCTGAGACAGAGGGCAGTCCATCTGATATTTCAGGCATTCAAGCAGTAAGTTCAGATCTGTTTTCATATCTAGGAGCAAACACAAAAAACTTCATTAAAATTGTTATCTTTTCTAGATATTAATCTAATCAGTATTAGAATAAACCTGTCCAAAATGTAGTATGTACATGCATTTTAAAAAGGGGGGAAAAGTGAGCCAAAATGGAGCCACACCACTTCTATTCAGCCACAAACAACAAACCTAGAAATATTTCTGTCCATAGTTTGTTATCTGAGCATGATTTCCTTTGCAGAGTAACAGCCTCCTTGTAATATTTCTGGCCTTTAATTACTAGTAATTCTTAGTAAGACTGATGTAAACTACTAAATATTAAATTCACAACTGCAAGGTGCGTTAAGTGTAAATAATACAGAGCCATTAAAGTATTCAGAGGGCAAATAAAATTCAGAGTGCAGTTGAAAACCTCTGGAGTAGTAAGTAGTAAGTAACAAGGCTGCTGGGTGGTACTGAGTTACAGGAGACAGAAACCATGCAGCACTGCAGCACAGCCCTCAGTCAGGTGCTTGGAGACGTAACACAAAATATTCTCTGGCCTCCTACATACAACCCTGGCTGGGTAAACAGCTTGGAAAATCTGCTTCTTAGTCTTTGGGCTATGATTAAAAGACTGACTTGATCATTATTTCTAACAGTGACAGAAGGTATTGTTTACCGTAAACCCTTACAAGGTTTGAAGGTTCTTAAAGAAGTTAAAATACAATAAAAATGTGGATAAATATTAGAAAATTTAAAAAAAAAAGTGACTTTGTGGTGGTGTGTTTTACTCTGTGTGTAGGTTTGGCATTGGATGTACCCTTTGCATATCCAATACAGTATCCAAAATTTGGCAACTAGGAAAAAGCACATTTTCCCAACTGCTCACCACCCCCCAACAGGCCTATCACTAAAGTCTGCTAAAACTTTGTAAAACTGATGCAGATTATAATGATAAATTATATTAGATATCTTACCACACTGACTTATCTGCACCTTTTGAGTGTTCATTTTTGTTTTATCTCTGTTCTTGTTCTACAACAGCAAGGAAAAAGTGTTTTCAGTTCTGTTCAGATTAGCAGTGTTGATAATATATGCAGTATAAATTACATCATTTTTCTAAAATGCACTTTTCCCAATTTTCTGCTTTTACTCTGTCATCTCTCACACACAGTTTAATGTATTCCTGTATGGCAAAGTTTTCCTTTGGAAATACAGTATTTTATAATAGCCTTGCATTTGTAACTACCAGGTTATCATCTTTTGAGAGTGGACAAAGGCTCAAAGCAGAATCATTGTCATCTTAACGAAGACAGCCAGCCCTGCTTTCTCTTGGGAGTTACTGATTGCCCCCATTCCTTTGCTGCTTCCCTTAGAGAGCGAGAATTGAGAGACTTCAATTCCCTGCAGCCTTTCAGAAGTGATAACAGACATGCATTTCATTTTCCTACAAATCCAACCCTGGCACAACAAGGAAAAGCTTGCCAGCCTTCTCACCTCTTTTTGTCCTACTGCCACCACCCCGCCAGCCTAAGAAAAAACAAAACCCACCCAAACAAAAGGAAGGCTGCAAAAATGAGTTCACTCTGGAGCTAACTGCTTTTCAGAAGAGTTTCATTTAATACATGTTTATACAATTATACAATGTAGGAAGCACAAGGGGTTTAAAACTGTATGTATACAAGGACACATCTTGACTTTTTCCTGGATCTTTTGCAACCTACAGAAGGTACACAAAATAGTGCTTATAAGCCAGCCTACATTAATTAGATGCAAACAGCTCACCTCAGTTGTTGCATCACAGAGCAAGGTGCAAAGACAAGCAACTAGATTTATCTCAACAAACAGCTGGCAAGTGTTGCATATGAAACTTCTCCATCAGTTATGGCAAACAACCCAGTAACATTGCTTCAAACCTCAGAAACCACTCCTGGAGAAGCGCAGATCTGTCAGTGCGTGTGCTCAGCACCACTAGAGCACATGGCTGGCATGGCCAGCAGAGCAGCCAGCCTGGGCAGGACTTATCCTTCGAAACCAGGGACCAAACCCAGAGGGGACAAGTGCGCCTTGCTGGCCTCCTGTGGAAACCAAAGCCCAGAGCAGCAGCTGAGGCCGTGAGGACGCTGCGCTGTGGAACAGGACTTGGGGCTGTCCTGGCCCATTGCAGCTCCCTCCTCCCTCAAATGAGCCCTGCGTGATTTACAGCTCATTATCAGAGCTCCACTCTGAAGCCTTAGCAAGCACTCCAGATCAGCCCAAATATAAAAGGGAAAGAACATAAGAAAGAGGGGAGGGGGATGAAAGGCAACAGTCTACTGATGAAACAGCAGCTGCATTCTTCTGTGGGAAGGTTAGGGAGTCTCGAGGGGGGAAATGGGGCACGGCTCGAGTACCTGTGGTCCAGTGGCGCGGGTGGCTCCGGACAAGCCCCGAGGCGAGGCGGGCGCCCGCTGCCGAGCGCGGCCCGGCTGAGGATGGGATCTGCGGGCTGAGGGGTGGGATCGCCGGACTGAGGGATGGGATGGGGTGGGATCGTCGGGCTGAAGGACAGCGGAGGCCCCGCCGGCCTGAGGGCTGGGATCCCGCGGAGCTGAGCGGTGCGATTGTCCGGCTGAAGGACAGCGGAGGCCCCGCCGGCCCGAGGGCTGGGATCTCGCGGAGCTGAGGGCAGAGCCCGGCCCGGCCCCTCAGGAGCCGCCGCAGCCGCAGCGCCGCCCGAGCCCCTCAGGTGCGGCCGGCCCTGGACTCGGGACAGCCCTGAGCCTTCCCCTCAGGCGGGCGGGAAGCGCTTGGAGTTGTAGAACCGGCAGGGGTGAAAGAGATCTTTAAAACCGTCAGTTCAACGTCAGCCCAGCACTGACACTGCAAACGCTAAAGCACTAAACCATTTCCCAGGGTCAGATCCAGAGGCCTCTTTAACAGCTCCAGGGATGGCAACTCCACCCCCTCTCTGGCCAACCTGTTCCCAGGCCTGAACACCTGAACAGTGAAATTTTTTTTTCTAAAATCTAACCTGAATTTCCTCTCAATGTGAGGCTACTTCCTCTGGTTCTTAGTGCATAGCTAATATCTGAGTTTATTAGAAATGCATTCTTTTATACACCATTCTGATAGAGGTGGACCTGATTGGTCTTTTAATCAACACCTTGTCACACCATCTGCTAATTAAGAAGACACCCTTTGGTAAACATCTTATGAAAAAAACAACTCTTCAAAGCACCAGCTGTAATTGCCTGCAATAATTTCTGAGATGGAAGTCATTAGTTTCAGCTCTACCTTCCCAGATTAGGTAACCCAAGTAATATTTCATTGGGAGAAATTCCTATGTCCTTTCTTGGAGCAGTTCTGATCCGTAATAATGCTAATTTGGTTTCAATCATTAATTTGGTAATATGGTTCTTAAGGACAGCATTCATTCTCTCCACACATCCAGAGCTTTGAGGGTGCCACGGGGTATGGAATTTCCAATTTATGTCTAATACCACACATAGAACGTAAAATTTTTGAAGTCAAGTGTGTTCCCTTACTTGAATCCATTCTTTCAGTTATTCCATATCTAGGAATGATTTGTTCTAATAGCATCTTAGCCACTTTGGAGGTAGTTGCAGTTGAGATAGCAAAGGCTCCCAGTGGGTGCGGTGATCAACTGTTCCAAGAAGATATTTCCATCTCTGTATTTTGGGGAACTCAGTCTAATGTATTTGCATATTTTGAAAGGGTCTAAGGGCTAGGGCTCTTCCCTCACTAGGGTGTTTTCTCATCACTTATTTATCTTTGAACAACTTCATTGTCCAGTCACTATTTGGCTACTGCAGAGACTCCCTCACAGCAATAAGCTCTTCAGAATTGATCATACAGTGCTTGAGCTCTCCAGTGCATTCCTTGGTGTAGCTTAATTAGAATTACTGTAGCAATTGCTTTATTCATTATTTGCCTCCCTTTCCTGCCAGCTGTGACTGGAACTACAGCAAAGGGAAAGTGCCTGCAGCCGAAGGAAGGCTGTGGTTGGGTATCTGCTTCTGTTTGTTGTTGCTGCCAGCGTTGTTGTTTGTTTGCCTTGTTGTACATACTGGCAAAGAACTTCTCCCATATCTTTGCCTGAAAGCCCCTTAATTTCAAAGTTATAATAATTTGGAGAGGAGGAGGTCACATTTTCCATTCCAGAGAGGTCCCGCAGACACCTGTCTTTCCAACCAAGACAAGCTGACGGTTAATCATGTATTAACAATTGTTTATTAACAATTAATTGTCGAAAATGAATTATTATCAATCTAATAAACAGTTATGTAGGTGATGAAAGGTTGGCTAGAGGTCTTCACTGGAGCTCGGAAGGGTAGCTGCAGAGGTCTCTGGTGGAGGGTGGGAGACCAGCAGCAGCAGAAGGCACGATGTTGCTGCCTCCTGCAGGAGCTCCAGCTGACACAAATGCTGGCCCTCAGGTGCTGGTTTCCAGGGCACCTGATCCTTGGCTCCCTGGCCTTTCTCCGTCTGCCCTACCAAGAATCTTCTGCTCCAAGGCTCTGCCTTTCACAGTCACCTGCCTCATCTTCTCAGTTGGATTCAGGTTAGAAATTCTAGCAGGAAGGGGACTGGTATTAGCCAGACAAACATTCCCAGCCAGTTGCTCTGCAACTCGCACAGCAAGTTGCACAGTGTTGCATCCTCTGTCTGTGCAAGCAGCATGCAGCAAATTAAACAAGCTGCATGGAGGCTGCAGAGGTGCAAGGGCAGGACCATGACCTGTTAAGTGCCTGGGGACCAACTACAGCACACAGGGTTCCAGGCAGAGAAGCAGGCCTTGCTTGTCCCCAAAGGAAGCAGAGCTAGGGACTTGCTGGTTCCTGGATCTCCCAGATTTTGCAACCTTCCAGCAGTGTGATGTTCCATACAGTGTCTTTTCCCAGTGTCTCCCTCCCAAGGCCAGATGATGATCTTTCTGTGCTCCTGTGGGTGTTTGTGCCGCCTCTCTGGGGCTGCCTGACTCCATGCCCACCTCCCCATCCCAGTCAGAGGGACTGAAAGCAGGGTGTTGGGGGATGAACCAGGCTGTGCTTGGTGGTGCCCAGCATTAGGACAAGAGGCAATGGGCAGAACCTGAACAGGGAATCCCACCTGAACCTGAGGAAGAACTTCTTTCCTGTGCAGGTGCCAGGTTGCCCAGAGAGGGTGTGGAGTGTCCCTCACTGGAATTATTGCAGAGCCCTCTGGACACAACCCTGTGCCATGTGGGACCAGATGACCTACTGGGGTCCTTTCCACCCTGTGATCACCCAGTGATAGCCATCAGAAACATGAGTTGGCAAGGGCTGGATGTTTCTCACCTGCACAGCAGGGTGGTCTGGAACATCCCCGCGCACTTTGGGGAGAACTGCACTTGAAAGGCCTGCTTCTGGCCAGGAGTGATGATGCCGTGGTAGGGCTTGATGGAGAACAGTGGCAGGTCATAGATGGCGTCTGGGAAGATTTCCAGGGCGGAACCAACGCGCTTTGAGTTGCGCAGCTTCTTGGGATGGTCCTGCTCTTCAAACTGCTGCCTCTTGGAATCCTGCAGGTGCTTGGCCAGCCGCTGCAGCAGCTGCAGCTCAAAAGCCTGAGTTTCATGGTCCTGCTGCCACCCAAAACGATGCAGCAGGTTTCTGCAACGCCTTAAAGTTTCAGAGGAGAGGAAATTACCTGCAGAGAGGAGGAGGACACCTTTCAAAGACAAAATCCTGTGCTCCCAGCAGCTCTGCCTCCTGCTGCAGGTAGGTGGAAAAGAGCTGGGATGCACTTGGAGCATCTCTGGCCAAGTACTTTTAGCAGGAAATAGGGTGTCTGGGAGCAGGGTCTCTGCCTGCAGCACACACTCCTGTGCCAAAGCAGGAGAGTTGCTTTTAGACAGTGACTTTGCATTTGCCCTGGAGTGAGGAACTGCACACAGACAGTGGCTACAGGTCAGCTCACTTGTAACACCATTGTGTTTCCCAGTCTCAGACTTCTCAAAGAGTCTGAGATGTCCCTGATGTCCCCCTTCCCAGTCCTGACCCAGCACGTGGCTCTCCCCAGAGGCTGGCTCAGCTCCTTTGCAGACCAGAAGTGGCAGAGCAAGAACAGAAGGGGATGAATGGCAGATAGGGGCAAAAACTCTCCAGCTGCAGCTGGGAAGATGCTGATGAAAGTGGATGTGTGGAGAAGGATGAAAAAGCAATTCATGTTTTGGAGTGAAGTGGCAGGGTCTTCTCCCCAGGCTCTCAGCTACCAAGTGAAATGCCCTTACGTGCCAGAGCACTCCTCATCGCTGCTTCACTATCTCCAGCTTCCTCCCAGGAGTATTCCAGGGCTATCTTCCCTGTGTTGTATAGCCTGAAACTGAAAAGCAAGAAGGAGGAGTAACAAAAAATTTCCAATAAATATAAAGCAAATAGTACAGTAACATTGTCTGATGGCCTCCTGGTACCACTTTCTGCTGAAGAGAACCTTCTTCCCCAGGCAGCCCTGCCATGCTCAGACTGCTGTCCTGGGTGGCCCTAAACAGTATTTCCAAGTGTGGATGTTTAAGAGGAAAGGGCCAACATGGTGCCCAGGACATTGAAGCCAAGGGGCTTACTCTGGACTTTAGGTCTTGGTTTGACTGCAAACTTATTGTTGAGCAGATGAGGACAGGTGACATGCAGTGAGAGCAAACCCATGGCTGCTCTCAGCAGAAAGGTCTGGCAGCCCTGAGGCTCTCCTGACCACCATCTCCTGCTTGGCCTTGTGTGCATGAAAATGGGCCTGTGCTGGTTGGGGCTGGGGCAGAGTTGTGGCAAGCAGGCACTGGGCCAGCCCTGGGCAAAGGCAGCTCCCGCTCCCAGGGCCCTGCCCGGCCTCCAGCACTCACAAGGCTGTCCTTGTCTGGAAGGGCAAGGTATCCTTGAACTCAACCACGGTTGTGCTCAGTTTGAACTGGGCGTGGGCAACAACAGCACTGAGGTACACCTCAGCCTCCTGGCTGCTCTCCTCCACCACAGTGTGAGCTGGTTCCAGGACTGGCTCAACCACCTGCAAACAGAGGAGGGAGAAATCACTGAGCAGAGCCCAGAAGGTCAGGCTGAGAAGGGAATCTTCTGGCCTCCAAGATTAGCCTCATAGCGGGACTAGAAAGGACCACTGACTTTTACTTCCCTGGAAAGATGACAAAATTAGGACTGCTCTGCTACGGTAGTTGTTTCTACCCACTGATCCAAGCAGTCACTACCACAGCTGTTAATATCCCCATGGATAGCTGTGTTCCAGTCCCTGTCCTTCAACCTTGTAGAGGGACTGGCTTTTTTCCTGTCCCCTGTAAATCCAGCAGGTCTCAAAATTAGGGTTAAGTTCTCCTGCTGGAGCTTTGTGGATGGAGAACCTCAAGACTGAAGAGTTCTAGAAAGCACCTTTTCCTTCTTGTCTTAGGAGAAAGTGCTCTCCAGCTGTCATGTCCGGAGCAACAGCCACACTGCTGGGAGCTGAGTATGGGCATTTTGGGATGTGAAAGATCTCATTGGAAAAGTCTCCAACTGCAGATGTTCTGATAGAAAAGAGGATGTTTTTTAGAGGCCTTAAAATGGTCCAGAAACTCAGGAAGAACCTTCACCCAAGATGAGTGTGTTTGGCAATAATGACAATAAAAGCAAGGGTCTCTGGAGATGATCCTTCTCTGGACTCCTCCATAGAGTCATGCAGTGCCTGGGCTACTTCGTGATGAGATACCCCACACAATACAGAGACTATAACCAAATTCTCTGGTATCCATGCAGACAAAACTTGGAGCTCACCAGCATATGCAGGAGAAGTATATTTCTCTCCACTTTAAAAGAAGAGACAGAGTGCAACAGACTTAACTCCTTGTTTGTGAAAAGGCACCAAATGAGATGAAGAGATTTCTAACACCATAAAATGGGATAAAATCATAAAATATTGTCTCCCATTCAACATGGGCTGCAACACTTGTGCTTGTGGCACAGACTGATAGTTTGTGTGTGGCTAAAGGTCTCTTGTCCAAAGGCTTCCCCCTCTTGTGTGAGTGTATCCAGTCACTGTGCATCCACCTCTCCCCTGGAATGCACTGCTGCTGAGCCTCATGGCTGTGCAGTGTCCAGAGGAAGCAGGAGCTGCACAGCCAGCAGTGATGCTGTTATGGTGGTTCTTTTAGTAAAAGCTGGGTTGCCTTTTTTTGCCCTTTTTCTTCTTACCTTCTCTTTTTTAGGCCACCTGGCTGCTGGGTCTTTCCACGTGGTATCCTTCAACGTCACAGTGCGCATTTGGTCGTCCCAGTCTAGAACCTTCCTTGGTGGCAGCTCAAAGTTGATCTTGGTCACCTTACATTTCACAAGGTGCCTTCTGAAGGTGACTGGGACATCTGATCTCAAGATCACTGTGATGCCCTTGGCACAGCCAGGATGGAGGTGTCCCACCTAGGGAGAATCAGGGAAACAGTCAAGACTTCCAAACTGGAAGCACTGCCAAGGGCAGGACTGACAGCAAAAGCAACTGATGTGGTGAACAGCTGTGCCAGAAATCTGCACCTCAGAGTGGATTTATGTGAAATTTGACAGACAAAAGTAAGAACAAAAGGTGGCACCTCCCAAAATATGAAGCCTTGTCTGCAAGGCTGGCAGCCTTGGCCCAGCCAAGCCAGGGACTGCATCTCCTACATGGCACTGGAACGGGCTATCAGTGGCATGTGAGGACTCCCTGCCCTGCCTGCTCTTGGGAGCACCAGGGCAGGGCGTGAGCAATGGGGAGAGGCAGAGCAGTGCACGCTCACCTTGGGGGAGAACTGGAATGGGGCGTCTGCATCCCACTCAAAGCGCATGGCCTGCGTAAGGGTGCGGTTGGTGATGGTGAAGGTCCTGCGGCAGCGCTTCCCGACAGGACAGTGCCCAAACTCGATGTGGTTCACTCTGACAGCTGTAAAGGAGGAGAGCAAGGCATGTCAGCATGCAGGGAGCTCCACCTGCCCCCCTCAGGTGCACAGACACCTGCACGTTCAATGCTGCCTTGCTCCAAGCCTTCCTCCCTCTGGAGGGAGTTCCCCAGGCAGTTCCCCATCCCACCACTTCCAGGGAAACACCCTGACACATCCTTAAGCCAGCGACATGCAGCACAGCACACACTGCTCTGCATGCATGGCTGCCACGCCCACAAGCCACCAAGTCCCGCGGGTGACAGCCCAGGCCTGGCTAGAGGGAGGACACACGTGATCAGACATTGTCCTCCTCCTTGCTCCACCTTGGCAGCCTCTCCTCTCTTACCATCAATGATGTCTTTCCTCAGACTGCTCTTAGCATTCCTCTCCTGGGTGTCTTCCTTTAATCCATCGAGGGTGAATTCGTCGTTGTGGCCTTCACCCACCAGCTCAACCAGGGTCATGCAGATGTCCCCCACTACCAGAGCAATCTTCCCTTCCACACGTTGAGCCAGGGTGGGTTTGAAAATGACCTTAAACTGTGCCGATTGCCCATGACGCAGAAGGATGAAAGTCTGCTTTGGGGGCTTGGTCTCTGCACAGCGATGAAATCAGAGTTAAGTGATACAGCTGTACAGAGGAAATATTTCCATAGGATAAATGAGGAATAAGAGGTTGAAACCAGCTGCCTTCTAAGCACAGGTTCTACCCACAGTGGTTCCAGACCCTCTTGCTATGTTCACAAGCCTGCCACCTCCAGACACAGCACCACTTAAGCAGCTTAACCTCGGGCTGATGCCCAGGCCTCATTCCACCTGCTTCCAGCCAGCTCCAGCCATATGTAAAGCTCAGCCAAAGAGTGCTTTTGGCTTCTGCTGGCTGGCTGTGTGCTCAAGGGCTGTGTCTGTTCAGGTTGGTACCTTCCTACATGAAGCAAACACCTTAGAGGGCCCACTGAGGTAGTGACAGTCTCCCACAACTCAACCCACCATGTCTAGAAGAACTGAACAACTTCCTACAACTTGCTAGGAGGAGACCCTGCAAAACGTCCCCAGGAAAAGCCTGGGGGACAGAGAGCCCAAAGAATGAAACTAACATCTGGCTGCTGCTCAGAGAAGCCAAGAGCAGGGCTCTTTTTTCATTTTCCCTCTGTGCATGATCACACTTCATGGTTAATGAATTTACCGTTTCTGACGGAGTCCTCTTCCATATCTCCAGTGAGGACTGTCTTGAATGTGAAGGCCCTGCCTTTCAAGGAGAACGCTCCGTGCTCATCCTCCAGCTGTAACATAAACTGAGAAAAGAGAAGCCAGAGCACAATGATGCTGGTGTGAGTACAGGATGGCACAGGGACTGACACCACAGTGCTGCTGGTCCCACACGGCAGCCTGGCACCTCTCCCACTACAAACAGCACTGAGCGCAAAAGTGAAGTCAAACCAGCTGAGAAGAAAGGGCGTTCAGAGGCATCTGGATAGAGCCCACACAGAACCAAACCGGACAGAAAGTAAGGGGCAGAATGTAATTAAACCCCAACTAAGTTTCCCTCAAATGTAGTAAATGGGATCAAATACAATCTAATGGAACTGGGAAACCACACATGTCCATGAGAACAAAAGGTGACCTGAGAGATGGGGGAAAATACTCCACCACCTTTCTTGTGTTCAACTGAAAGAAAAAAGACTGGATGGAAAATTTTCAAAAACTCTCTTTTTGAAGAACAGATGTCAGTCACTTGCTTAAAAAGAATTTCTGACACCTCTTCCCAGGTCTGCCATGTTTTTTGGGACCCTTCCCCTGTGCCACAAGCACTTGTTCCCAAACCTTCCTTGAGCAGGTCCTCCTCACCTTGACAGATTTGGTGCCACTGTTACGGAGGACCAGGGGGAGCATCTCTGAATGCTCCAGCTGGAGCCTCTTGAAGCGCAGCACGGCCGTTCCCCTCTTGCTGCGAACATTTGGGCGCACAACTGTCACCGGCAGCTCCTGCCCCTTCCCACTGATGGTGAAGGTCAGGATTTGGGGTTGAATTTCCACAGAGCTGCAGGAGAGGTGCAGAAACAATTTCAGCTGGCACTAACCCATTTCACACTGGGCAAGTGAAGCACCAAGGGCCACCCACAGTGTTTTCCCTGCCTGGTGGTCCTGGTGCTGCTGGGGGGCTCCCACAACACAGCCCCCCAGCAGCCTCTTCCCAACCCACTCAGGGCCATTCACTAGAGGAATCTGCTCCAAAGAGCCAGAGCCTTCCACAACAGCAGTTAAAAATAATTTCACTTAATTGAATCATGCAGTGCAGCAGGTAAATAAGGAGGCACCAGATGAGATATGGCAAATCCCCTGGCTGCAGTGAGATGAGACTTACGCAACAAGCAAAAGCACAGCACAAAAGCAGTACAAAAGCAACAAGGCAAAAATAAATCATCGTCACCATCAGCAAAGATCGTTTCCAAGAACAGTAAAAAAGCAATTCCTTATTAGCAGTTAGGCTTGTCTTGTTGTGATTCAGCCACTAAATTGCTGAGGAAGGACAGGTCAAAGCCCCAGTTCACAGGTCCCAGGGCAGAGGAACTGCGTTCCTCTTTCATACCAGCTCCAATCAATCACATAAAAAAGCTTAATGAATGCCAGTGAGTCACAGAGGATCACTTAATTTTACAGAAACAAAGAGGAAAATGTGACTACTGACTTACTGGCACATCTAAACCTTTGTCCATGGAAACGCCCAGGTCAGCTGCAGCACATCTCAGTAACTTCAAATTGACTACCTAATATTTCCTTGTCTTGATAGTTCTTCATACAGAATAAACTATCAGCCTCATTTTTCTACTCTAAGAGTTACTCCCGGATCATCTCATGCCAAGTACTCTGCCTAAGGCTACTGGAAGCATTAGAGCTAACAAGAGGCCTGTTCCTTCCCAGTGGAGAGGCAGCTGTCAGTGAGGCCTGCCCCAGTATTTCACAGGGTCAGTTACCCTTTGGGGATGACAAGGGAAGCCTTGAAGGTGCAGTCGTAGCTCTGCTTGTCTGGCGGGGTGAAGGTCACCGTAGCAATGGCAGAGGATGAGCCACGAATGGACATCTTGATAGGATCCAGATTGAAAATATTGTTGATAGGGATTTGTTCCTTGGGGGAACCCGGAGAGCAGCGTTAGGAGAAAACACCTTTCAACATGACACAGTTTTAGTCATCAATGCATCACTGAGAACAGCCCCAGACATTGTGTCTTCCTTCCTCCTTCCCTGGGCAGGCTCCCTCCCTCCCAGGGAATGCTGACCTTGTGCTAAAGCATTGTGTGTTTGGAGTGCTGGCAGCTGCCCCAGCCTATATGGGAGGTGGGCACTGCGTGAAAGCCCCTGTAAACAACTCAGAACTGGCCTTCAAAGAGAAGGAAAAGCCAGGGAGCCTGAGGAAATGCTCTGCTTTGAGCCCTGGCATGTCAGCTCATGACAGCCCCTCTCTGCGTGTGCTTCCAGGAGAGGTTCAGAAGGATTCACTTCTCCCACTGAAGACCCAGAGGTGTGAGCCAAAACCTTGCCCAAGACATGCAGAATTCCACACAACTGTTCCCTGGCTCTGCTGCTCTCCCCTGCAGTTTGACCTGCACTGAGCTACACTAGTGTGGGCCACAGGAAGCAATGCATTTGGAGAACAAAACAGGCTCTCACCCGGCCCTTAGAGGGCAACCACCACCTTGGCCTCCTGCTCTTACCTCTCCAGGCAGGATGGAGAGGGCCACGTCACATGGCAGACGGCCTGCATTGCAAATTCTGAAATGAGCTTCTGCCTCCTGCCCAACCAGAACCTTGTTGAAAACGAATCTGTTCTCATCTCTGACGAACAGGCCCATGCCTTCCAGCGACTGCAGCTTGTACTCAAGGTCGGTGCTGCTGCAGATCGGGTAGTCCTTGAAGACTGACGTGACATCCTGAACGAGTGCTGTGGACAGAGCAGAGGGATGAGCACAGAGAAGCCTCCCTGAGCAGAGGGATGAGCACGGAGGGGCCTCCCTTATGAATTTGTCTAGACCCTGCTGGCCTCTCAGAAGCCTTGATAAGCCCTTTCTGCCTGGGTGATTGCTAAACCCAGCCTTGGGTGGGGGAGCTGGCTGTGAGGATGGAACTCAGTCAACCTCAGTCTTAGAGAGCATTGCTTTCCTTTTATCCTTCCATGCATCCCTCTCAGCCTGGGAGGGATGAGTGAAGTGGTGGACTTGAAGAGGGCTGGAACCTCTGAGGATTTTAAGGTGGGACACCAGGGCTAGCATGCCTCTCTATCCAAGCAGCAAGTTTAGGTGCTGCTCAGCAGCAGGTGTGACCAAGGGCACTGTGGGCAGTAGGTACCTGGGAGGCAGGACTCGACAACCAGGGTGAAGGGAATGCCGAGGGGGTTGTCCTTGGGGTCTCTGCCCATGATGTCGATGTAGAGCTGCTGCTCACAGGTCCCCTCCTGCCCTGCGAGGCACTCCACTTTGATCACCTGCAGGCCACACGGACGGATGGAGCCACAGCAGGGGGACACCGTGAACGCGCCAAGATTGAGGTGACTCTGCAGAAAAAGTTCCAGAGGAGGCTGATGGCTAACAGCTGTGCCTTGAGCACCCCAGCAAAGAGTATGTCCTGCCGTGGCCTCCAGCTGGGCCCAAGCACCCAGTCACAGGGCAGGGAAGGATGACTTCATGGCCCAATGGCAGCCCCAGGCTGGGAGCAACAAGCCAAGAGGAGCTGCAAGCCTGTCCCAAGTGGCAGAGAGAAAGGAGTTTGAATCTAAAGAATGAAGGTGGTAGCTTTGATCCTTCAACCTCCAGAGGTAACACCAGAGGCCTGAAATAGCTCTGAGAAATGATAGGAGAGAGGTAGGGGACTGGGAAGAAGAAAAAGTGATGTTGTCTGAGCTCTGTGGACTGGGAGTTCAGTGGGGGATGTTTTTGCTTCTGAGGTGTTCACAGACCTATGCTGGCTAGCAGCTACCAAACACAGGACCTGCTCCCCTCTGTTGACCCCACAACTCCAGGTCAGAGCCAGACTACAGGACTGTCAGTGGGACTGAGCAGATACTGGTCTTGCAGACCACGTCCCACCCTGTGGCAATGAGCCCCAGCCTGGGCACAGCAGCGTCTTCTCACATCCCCTGCAGCAGCACTGCTGGGCAGCAGGAGTTACCCACCGGTGTTGAGAAGCTTGATTCCTTTCCTGTCGAGCGCTTTGTAGCTGATGGAGCAGATTTCCTTTGCTTTGAACTGAGGGGAGAAAGCAGAGGTATCTGTCATGCTGAGCTCCTGTGCCTCAAAGGCCAAAGCTGGCCTTCCTCCTCACAGAGGAAAGCCTTCCTGCTCCTTATGGCTCGCAGAGAGCAGCCAGCAGCTCCCATTGCTGGACTGAGCAGCTCTATCACCAGCTTTGTACTACACATGGGGATACTGAGGTGTGGTTTGCTCCCTCTCCCCAAGCCAGGGATGCAAATGGACGATAGCCCAGGTCTCCTGGCTGCCTGCCACATACCAGCTGTGGAGTGCTGCCTCTTCAGACAGGAAGGGTGGTGCAGGGCTTCTCATACCTTTTGCTTTCCAACGCACATGCAAGCATGGGTGTTTGGCGGATGCAGAACTGGAAATTGGCCATGCCTATGTTCTTCAGCACAACACTCCGGGTCTTCCTGGTGCCCACGATCATGGCTCCGAAGTCCGTGGGTGAGGCAGGCACAATGCTGTACTTGCTGTACTCCGCTTCGGCCGACACCCTCACTGGGATGTTGGCAACAGCCGGGCGTCCTCGACCTGGGCTGGCATCTGCCACCTGTGTCCACAGGAAGGGCTTGGTAAACAATAAAGAGGCCAGCCAGATTCTCAGCTCCACTTAAGAAGCCTCGCAAATGGTGTTGAAAGACTTTGTTTGTGTATGTAGGAGAGAGGATTCTCCAGTTAAAGGCCTCCTTCCATTAGACATCTAGCTTGTTTACACTCCCAAAACACCGTGTGATAACACAGCCTGGCCCAGGCGGCTCACCTGGCAGTACAGGATGGGATTGTTCTTGAGGACCATTTCACTGGTGGGGTGGAAGAGCATCTCAACCTTCTCACCAGGCCGGGATGCAATCAGCACGCCTGACTGAGGCTCAACAGTGAAGTGGGATGTCAAGTCTTGCATCTTGGGACCTGCACCCTTCAGCGTGAAACTGGGGAGAAAGGGAAGGAATGGAGATCTCTGCAGTTAAAAGTACAGGTGCCACCAGCACAGCCAGGACTTTGCATAGGACTAGAAAAAAAAGGGAGAGTCCAGTTCTGGGAATCCTGGATCTTGACAGAGAGTGCAGACAATCACAAGATTACTGCAAGAAACCTTGAGACTGAAATTTTTCATTCACTCCTTTACAGAGTCTCAGAAAGAGAAAGGAGGGGACCACCAAAACAAGGCAATGAATCTCAGCATTTCAGTGGCTGAAATTTCTGGGGCTCTCCTTTGGGCTCCAGCTGAGCTGTGAAGAACTGCTGGTTTGTGGCTGAATTCTCTGGTAATACAATTGAGATCAGAGAGCCCAAGTTTTGTATTTACCATCAGGTAGCCAGCATGGAAACAGGATCTAGCCATTGACAGAGGGAGAATGAAGGTCTGGGAAATGCTCACTACCAGGCAGCTGGACTCACCTGTACTCAATGTTGTATACCCCTTTGTTCTGTAGACTCAGGACTTTCTTCACTTTATCCAGGACATTAATGGTTCCAAATTCCAAGCTTCCATCTGCACCTGCAGAAAACCCACAGAGTGAGGTCAAACACAGTATTTGTGAGCTGCTGCAGAATACACGAAGTCACAAGCAACATGGAGGTCTCGGCACAAAACCCTTTTCAGCAAGATCCCATTCTTGAAAGTGTTTTCCAGCTACTTGTCTGCCCTTTCTCTTCTTACTCAAAATATCTGCAGGCTTAGTAGCTAAAGAGTTCGCCTTCCATTTCCTCGCTCCCAAGCACAAATCCAATTCCTTTAAATGCTGTGCTGAGTCTGTGGGCATTGCCAACTGCCTGTTTACATCACTGTTGTTTCAAAGCCCCCAAATCCAATCTGCACATGAAACTGCACACTTCAGTTCAGAGGGGAGAGCCTTAAGGCTGTCAGAGTCCTGACAATGCTTTATTCCACGCAGCTTGCAGAGTATGTGCTTTAGGTATCCACGCCTTCCTTGCATGCTGTCCCATCCCATCCCATCCCATCCCATCCAATCCCATCCCATCCCATCAAGTGCTTTGGCTGCCCACCTCCCAAGGTAATGCAGTGCACCTGGACTGCTTTGTTTGGGAGGCATCCACTGACCTTCAGGCATGTCAATGCTCAGAGAAACTTCATAGACCTCTGCAGAGATTTTGATGTTTTCAGCCTGAAAATTCCCCAGGATGTTTTCTGTATCTGAAACCTGAGGCAGCAAGAAACAAACACTGTTCAGATTATTCTTTTGGTAGACAGCCTGAAAGTCCTTGTCTCTGCTGGCTGCTTCCCCTATGACCTTCCTGGCTTCACAAACGTTGGTGGACTCCCAAGCTTTGCTAACCTGTTCCTCTCAGGGGCTGCCCCAGTGGGATTCAGCTGCAGTAAAAACCCCTATCAGCCCAACTCTGCACTCCTGTAGCAGGGAATGCTGCTGCTAAAGCATCCTTGAGAGGCACAGGGGTGTAAGAACAACCACAAGAAGTGTGAGGTGTCTCAGAGCAGGTGGCATTGATAACCCTCTCCAATCACCTAGCACCCTGTCTGAAATGCAGCCCCTAAACCATGGGGAACAAAATCCCAGGGCGAGAGTTTGTTGCACTATGCAAGGGCTTCAGACAAAGTCCAGGAGGAACGTAGAGATCACGCTGCAGTCCGTACCACCAAACAACAACCTTCAACCATTCACAGGGACAGGGTGGTTGTGGTACAGGCTCAGGATGCAGTGTCTGCTTATCTGGGGCGATGTGGATGCACTACATGGTCTGGCAAATGCTGTGCAGAGGCAGAAGTTGGGGTCACAGCACCCTTGTGTCTGGCAGGTGCAGCTCTTTGTGACTCTGTCCCTAGGAGCACATGGCTGCTCACTGTGCCCTGCTCTGCCAGGCAGAGCACAGTCCCTCTCACCTCTAGTCGCAGGATCTTCTCAATGCTGCCAATGCGCTCAGCCTTGAAATGCAGTGTCACTTGAAACTCTGAGTGGGGATCAAGGATGCCATTATCTTGTGACAAGGAGAAGTCCTCAACAAGGCCACCCAGCCCACGGAGCTGCCAGGCCATGGGCAGTAGGGTGTTGTTTTTCAGGACCAAGGTCCTGCTGTCAGCCCTGCAGAGACAGGAAGGCACTTGGCATCAGCTGCCGGATGGTCACACCAGCCTCGCCACTGAACGCAACTTGGAGCAGCTCCATCCATGCCCCGGAAACCAGAGTCAAACGTTTTCTCTTTGTCACCACTCTTAGAGTGCTTGTGGGATGACTGACCTGTGCAGAAGCAGCTTGTCAAAAGACAGCTGCAGGGGGCTGACCTCCAGCTTCATGTCCACCCCATGGCAGCATAGGCTGAAGACCACTGGCTCCGGGTTCTTCCTAATGCTGCAGATGAGCTTGTCTTCCAGGAAGCCAGGGGAGGTGGGGTATGCCCAAATGGTCAGCTCCTGGACATGGCCCACAGAAGAAACCAAAGGAGCTCTGAGTGTGAGCAGGAGGAGCAGCCCCTGGGCACTTCAGCGGTGCCTGCTCTACCTGCCCTTCTCCTACCTTCCTCTCCTTTGGTTTCAGGGTCATGCGGCGAGGGTCCGCAACGAAGGTCCTTGTTTTCCAATCTTTCTCAAAAGAGAAGTGGACCTCTATGACCATGGGGGAGTTGTTGAGGATGGTTAGCTTCTCTGAGTTGCCGGGACAGTTCTGGGCCTCGTACCTGTCCACAAAAGGGGAAAAGGCTGCAGAGGAGACTGTTGCCTTTGCCACACACCGAGGAGAGCACCGTGTGCACCCGAGGAAGCACTGCTGGGAGACCCTGCTCTAACAAACAAGTGAGGGAAATGGATCCCAGTCAGAGGCATGGCAAGGATCCTTGCCGTAGTTTATGCCTAACCCCTGGACTTGGTGCCTCCACCACAGAAGCCTGATGATGCTCAGGCCACTTTGAGAGTTTTTAATACAACATAAATTCAAGGGTGCCTAGAAAAATAACAGTACACCAGGCACATGGGTTCCTTCCCCTTCTTTCTTGGGGTGCCTTCCCTGCAGGGTATAAAGAAAGGCTTTTGGAAAAAGAGTTTAGCTAATCTTTTTCATAAAAGTCATGCAACTGCTTTGGATTTCATGGGTAGCTCAAAGTCTGAGAAAGAAATATGAAGCATCAATTCCCAAGAGAAATGCAAAGAGATAACAAATGACTCTTCTCTCGTGTGTGGAAATGACTTTGGAGTGAAAGGGTTAAAGAGGCAAACAGAAATCCCAAACCATCCATCAACCTGGCTAAAGATCGTCTGGTTTTTTAAACTATTTTAATTTCATTTCCTTGGATTGTCAAAATAGACCTAACCCTCCAGATTTCCTATGGGGACAAGAACTTAAATGCTATTAAAAAAACTAGTGACAGTAAAAGTAGGAATACACAATAGCTTCAATGACCATGTGCTTAGGCAGATTTTATCCAGCAGTGAGCATGCAATGTCATTACAGGAAAATGTAATTCCTGCTGTATGTTCCCCTCAACATCCATTTGCAGGTCAATAATAAAATCTTGTTATAATTACAGATGAATGAAAGTTTTACAAAACCATCTACAGAATAATTGCTTGATCAGGCTACCTGCAGAGCTCAAAGCACTTCAAAAACCACCATAAAGTTCATTTCCTAAGGGGTGAAGCTGAGATGTGGGGGGGGACAGAAGTTGCCGTCCGACACCTTTGGACTGGCGGCAGCACGCGGCCCTGGCCACCAAGGTGGCCACTGGGTAGGCAGAGCAGCTCCTCCAAGGCTCATTTGCCTCTTATCTGTTCAAGTTCCCATCTGTGGTCCTTCAAGCCCATGTCTCTCCCAGGACTCTGCCAGGGACTGCCCTGGATTGTGCAACCAGGAGAGCATGTCTCTCCAGGCATGTCCAGAAAAGTACAAGGCCCAGCAGGGAGCACATACCACTCCCTTGACTTCCCACACAGCAGCGGTCCAAAGTGGAATTGCTTTGTGCTCTCAACATATTCTTTGAAGATGACTTCATCCTCCTCCATGGTCTCCCTCCAGTGTGGAAACACCAGCCTGGGCAGAGAGAGTGGGGAAGGAGGAGCTATGAGATGCTCCAAGTAGGAAATGTCATCAGAAAGCCATAACCCTTCCTGGTGCCTGAGGTACCATCTGCCTTCCCAGCTCCCAGCACAGGAAGAGGGGCTGGGCAGCCTCAGGCAGCACAATCTGCCCAGCCCTGGCTGTGAGTTCAGGGCAGCTGTGCTGTGGGAGGCTGCCAGGGCCCAGCCTTACCGTGGGTTCTGGATGATGCTGGGGTACAGGCCGGTGACACTGCAGGGCAGCTCGTACTGGCGCTTTGACAGCACGATCTCAAACTTCATTGTCTGCTCAAACTTCCCTGGCTTTTTGGTGAAGAAGTTGACCTTCAGTTCCACCTCACCGTGGGCAGGCACTTTCCACCGGTACCGTTTCAGCCTGGCAATTAAAGAGGAGGCTTCACACATTGCTGAGGAGCAAATGAAGCAAGGAGGGTGCACTCACCATCCCCCAGCACTGGGTTGCTGTGGAGCTGGGGACAATGGACTTTGTTTGGCAAGAGGACCAAGAAGCAGAGGCATCACCTCCTCCTTTGTGGCTCACCTGAGGAATGCTGCAGGGGTTGAGGCTCTTTCCAGCACTTTCAAAGGACTTTGGGATCTTGTTACAGAGGAATCCTGGGAGCTTTCTGTTCTCTGTGTGGAGATCTGCTTCTCCTTTGCAGACCTGACACTGCTGACCACTTTACCCCTCTTTGGCTGCCTCTCAGCAGAACTGCCCTTTGCATCTGGGGCCTTGGCCTAAGGGGAGAGAGAAAAGGGAGGGAGAGGTGAGGCCTGAGACATCCCCGTCCTGGAGAGTAAAATGAGGGTTTGTTCACCAATGGAAGAGAGAATAAATACATAAGTCCACCTGCCCATGGGCTTGGTTTTCCTTATTGGTGCTTGTTTTGCCTAAGATACCCCTTCTTATGCAAGACCCTCTCCTCAAAGGAAGTTGATGGTTTTAAGTTATTTTTTTCCTTCTTGTCTTACAGAACTGCTCTGTTTCCAGCAGAGTCCCATCCCTGGCAGAAAGGAGACCTGCAGACATGGGGCCTCCCATCACATCTTCACAACCTCTCCACAATGATTCCTTTCCATCCAACCTGTCCCCCATGCCCCCATCCAGCCTGGTCCCTGCCCTGGCACCTTCAGTGCCAGCACCACTGGAGCACCCACCAGATTGTCTCCCACGGCAGCACCTCCTGGTGCCACAGTGGTGAAGGGCTCCACACGCTCTGCAGAGCCCAGCCTCACCTCTGGGTACTCGACTGTGGAGAGCGCAGCACCAGGGGCAAGGGGAGCGCCGTCAGGATGCAGTCCCAGATGTTTCAGCAGCTAAACAGAAGAGAAAATCCTGTTGATACCTCTGTCACCTTCATCCTCACAACTCCTTCTCTAAAGGCACTGAGCTTTTGGCAATGGGGTTTTTGACTTATAGGAAGTACAAGTGCTTTGCTATGCCCAGTGGGGTGAGCAGGCTCCAGAACAGATGCAAGAGCTACAAGCCGGAGCGGGAGAGAAACCTCTGCTGAGTGACTCAGCTGAAGAAAACAATGGCCATGAGCTGCCCTGTCCTGGGGCCGTTTATAATGATTTCTGGGCTGGGAGACTGAACAGATGGGATACTTGTACACAGAGCACTCCCGCTTTCTGCCCATCTGAGGGATGGTGACAACCTCCCCATTCACATAGATGCTACAGAGTCCTTGTGGAACATCATCAGGGGTCTGGACAAGGCTCTGTGACATTACCACCTGGGGAGGACACAATGCTCCAGGGCCCACAACCACAGCAAGCTCAAGATCTGAGCCTTGCAGGGTTTTACCTGGTCTTCTGTTGGCAGCTTCCCATCCCCCAGGATCTCCCCAATCATGGCCTTCGGATCTGTGACCTGGATGTCCAAGCACGGCACCCCGACATGCTTGTCTCTGACTGCCCCTTCTGCAACTTTGCTTTGTGTCCTCAGCTGAGATGACTGAAGACTCCTTTGGCCTTCATGTTTTGGTTTAGGCTGCTTCTTCACCTTCTCCTGAGGCTTACTGGTCTTCCAACCTTTGTTTCCAGCTGCAGGCTGGGACTTGTTTCCCTTTTGGATCACGGGTAACTGCACGGTACCCTGAACCCTGTCCCAGTAGGAGAAAACCTTTGCCATGTCCTGCTGTGATGACTCATAGATCTGAAACCTCAGGATCAAGATCTCAGCTGGGTCCTTGGGGACTTTGGTTTTCCCCTTCCCAGAGGCTTTAGTTCCCCTCTTCTGTGGGGCTTTGGTTCCCCTCTTCTGTGGGGCTTTGGGTGCCCCCTTCTCTGGGGCTTTGGTTTCCTTCTTCTCTGGTTTTGCAGGCTGATTCCCGAAGGAGACTTTCTTTTCCTTCTTTGGCTTCTCTTCCTCCTTCTGCCTCTTTTCCTCCTCTAAGGCTTTTGCCTCCTCCTCAAGCTTTTGAGCTGGCTGCTTCAGCTCCCTTCAGCAAACAAAATAGAAAACATCACTGAGAGTCCCCACCAGAAACTTGGGCTCACCAGTCCTGGCTGGCCCTGCACTTCATTCCTTGACCCTGAGGCCATGGCAGAATTCATTTCTGTGGATTTTCCTCAACCCACAGAGGCTGGGAACATCCCAAGTGAGGGCATTGGTGGAAGGGCACCTCCAGGACCAGCCAAACCTAAGCCTTGCCATTGGAAGGCCTCAACTGTGCCACCTCCCTCTTAAGGCACAGCCAGACACCTCCAGCCCCTGCCAAAGGCTGATCCAGCAGCTCTCTGTGCTGATGCCTGAAAAAGCTCTTTGTCTCTTGACTTCCCAGTTTAAAGCAGAGCACAGATTGCTGACATCTGCTTATCTCTCCTACAATCCTCACTCAGCTCATTCAGCCCCTTCTCTGTGGGCACAGCCTGCTCCTTAATGAGAATAATCCTATCAGTCAGAAAGCAGAGTCTGCAGGAACTCCTCTCCTGCAAGACAGGCTCTTGTCAGCCAGGTTTCCTGCTGGAACCCAGCTGGGACCAAGCAAACTGTCTGACCAAGTGCTATCTGCCATGGAAACGATTTGAAGCAGCTTCATCTGTCTCCTCTCCATGGAACCAACTTCAGCCTGGGCTGAAAGGAGTCCTGAGCTTGCTTTAAGCAGCCTCCACACCCAACTCCACACTTTTCCTGTGAGTCCTGAGCTGGGCTGCCTTGCTGGAGCAGAGCTTCTCCTGTGCTTGCCTCCTGCTGCAGCTGAAGGGGAGCCTAAAGGACATGAGCTTTTCTGGGTGCTGTCCCACCATAAGGAGAACCAGGAGCTAAGAGAGTGGCCATCCTTCTGGCCTTTGATATCAAATACTTCTGAGCTCAAAGTCCTTGGAGCAGGGAAACCCTGCAGGGACAAAACCATGAGCAGGAACCCATGGAAGGCTTACTCACCCCTTCGTCTGTGTTCTCTTCCTTTCCTGTAATATTTTATCCACTTCTGCTTTCTTCTCCTCAGGGAGGGCATCATACTCATCCTCATCCACTTGCAAGATGTGCAAGAGAAACAATGAGTGACTGCAAGCAGAGCTGGGTGCTCTATGTCAGCTGCAAGGATTCACAGCTTTTCCCCACCCAGCCTATCATCCCAGGAGATATTGGGAAGCTCATATCCCTGCTCCAAAATTCAGACAATCCCCCAAACTATGGCTGAGCAGAGAGTTCCTGGGCTTTGCCTGGCTTAAGTGCACCAAGGCTGTGGACAGTCGTTTGTCACTGAGCTACAGCAGCTGGCTCTTGTGCCCAAGATTTAATGTTAGAGATTAACATTAAATCTAACATCTCTAACATCTGAGGTCTTTAAACCTCAGACCTCCTGCAACTCTGAGATGAGTACTAGTTGCACTGGGGCAGAAGGTAAAAAGATTAATAAAAACATTTCTTACAAGCTCTGCTGAAAACCCAGATACACAGGGATAAGGTTGAGGCTTGAGATAAGGTTGAGAGAGAAAATTTGAGAGAAGATATCTCACCTTCCTTCTCTCTTTGAGCTTCCTTCTTCTTTCTTTCAGCTTTGTTCTTGGCTTTCCAAGAAGCATAATCCTGCTGCAGGTTCACCACGTAGATATGATGACAGTTCTTGACAGCTCTGAGTACACAGAGCAGAGAAGATTCCAGGCTGCTTGCAAAGAGGCTCTCCAAGCCATCAAAGACCACTCCCTTGTAGCAGTCTTTACGCTGTGAATAAAGGGAAGAGTAAGTCAGATTGCACGCAGGGGCCTCACAGCTGGACAGTAATCCCAGATGTCCCAGGGCACCAGCTATCCTTGTTCCAAGGGCAGTAGCTAAGAGCAGCTGGCACCTGTCCTTAGGCTCTGCCAACTAAGGGCAGCTGCAGCTTCCCCCAGGGTTCTCTTCACACAGTCCAGGATCCTCGAGCAGCATGTACAGAGCTGCTCCTCCTCCTCCTCTCTGAGTCGTACCTCAGTGCCTTCTCTCCGGAGCAGGAATGTCTCCTTTTCCCCCACCCCACACACCTGCAGCCTCTCACTGAGGATGTCCACCAGCAGCTCCTCGGGCAGCACACAGCTCAAGCAGTTCAGCTTTTCCCCACGACTGCTGACGATGCTCAGCTGCTGGGGCGCAGGAGCAGTGGAAACTGTGAACTGCAATGGGAACAGAAACCAACAGCCCTGAACAACTCCCACTGCTGGGCTTGGAGCTGGGGTTCCTCACTAGTGGAGACTAGAACAGACTAGCAGTGCAGGCTGGGGGCTCCAGGGGATGCTCCTGGAGGGCCCATCCCTTGGCCAGCAGAGACCTGAGCTTGCAAGCCCCAGTGCAGCCTCCCAGCACTTTGCTCACTGCCTGCAGCCACACTAGCCAGGACTGCACTTTGCCAGCAAACCACTGAGAGCCAGTGGAGCTGTCTGCCAGAGCACATTCCCAGCCCAAGTACGGCACAATGGACCCACGTGCCAGGCCCTGGCTGGCACAGAGCCTCCACTGTAAGCACTCCCTGCTCTTCTCAAAGACAACGTAAAGATCCCAGGCATCAACCAGGGCAGACCATGTTTACCTTGGTGCCCTTTACCTTGGCTGGCTCCTTCTTTTGTGCTGGAAGGTTCTTGCCTTTGGCATACTTCTTGTAGATGTTTTCCTCAGCGGCTTCTTTATTCTTGCTCTGAGCAGTGAGCTTTTTACCTGCACAGGGGACAGACGGTTCAGGGGGCTTTGTAAAGCAAGTAGGCACCTTTCACTGCAATGGGCACAACCTTGGGCCCTGGAAGGAACATGGCACTTGTTCCCCAGTCTGCTGGGCACTGGCAGCACTGTTTCCCAGAAGCAGCTCCTTGCCTGCTTCTCTTACCAGCATGCCATACTTGATTTTAAAGCCAGCACTATGTCCCTCCTAACAACTGTGCACGCAGGTGACGCTGCTCACACAGCAGTTCCCCTGAGGATCAAGCCAGAGATTTGTCCTCCAGGAGCATTGTTTCCATACACTGCACCCATCCTGCATTCTCATGTGGAGACCTGCAGCCTGCCCCACTTGCATCATTTGTCTCCACTGAAGCTAAATCCTCCTTGTGGGAAAACCCCAGCTGGGACCCAGACTCTTCTTCCTTCCGCCAGCTCCCAATCCAGCCAGGTTCAAAACTGAACAATGCAAAACTTCCCCCTGCACCGAGCCAGGTCTGGCCTCACCCTGCACAGCTCAGGGCACCAACTGCCCAGGAAGTTTCATAAATGTCTCCAGTCTCAGAACAGCCCAACGAGCTGTGTAACCTGACAGTGGCCACAGGTAACTCTCTGGAGAAAAGAGCTCATCTGGAGCATGTCTCTCATTGGAAATTCCTCTGGGAGGCTGTCCTTCCCTTCCTCTCGTTTGCGAGGTTACACGCACAGTCAGTTCTCTTGTGCTCAATGAGCCACTTCAGAAGGCTTTTTCCTTGTTCAGGTGGGCAGCAGTTCTGCTTGCTGCCCATGAGGAGCAAGCTCAATTCAGCTTTGAGGAAATATAAAATATTTTGGAAAGAGACAGGCGTGCTTCAACACCCCTAGAAAAATGAACATGTTCCAAGAATAGCAGAAAAAGGGGCTATAAAAGAACCCCTGACTGAGCCCTTAAAATTGATTTTTTTTTTTTAAAGAAGCCAGAGACGCACTTCAGCCACATTCCCTAAGAGACACAAGGACTGAAAAACTGCTGCTCTGAGTAAGCAGAAGTGGACAGTCGTGGTGGGTTTCTCAAGCACTGTCTCTAGCATTTTTCCTTACCAGCATCACCTTTGTGTTTACCTTTTTGCTCCAGGGCAGCCTGGGTGCAGAGCAGCCGGGCACGGAGCCCCGCTGGGCTCTGGTTGTTGGCCATGGCCTCTTTCACCACGGTGTCAATGGACATGTGAGCAGCGCCATAATACTGACACAGGCCTGCTGCTATCTCTGTCTTTCCTGAGAGAGAGAGGAGGACTGCTTGGTGACACTGGCACAGGAGGCACTACAGGGACAGGCCCTGGAAAAATCTCCAACAAGATTTAAAGGTTAAAAGGACAGTGGGAAAGCAAGTGTCCCTCCAGGGGAGGCCATGAGGGAGGCAGCTGCAGCGTGGATACAAACTCTGAATTCTAGAGCCAAGAGGATCATCTCCACCTCCCGTTCAGCTGAGGACTTGCCTTAAGCACCGTGGCCCGCCAGGATGTGTTCCTCCTGCTTGTCCCTCTCCCTGCAGCCCTGGGCTGCAGCTCACGTACCTGCCCGCGGCGGCCCATGGACGATGACAACAATCCCTCGGTGGGGCTGCGCCTCGCGCCTCCATGAGGACGGGGCAGTGCCCGGGTGGCGCAGGACAGCCCGAGAGAAAGGAATCCCAGCCACTTTCGCCACGGACTCAGGATGGAAGGTGATAGCTCTGTGACGTGCTGCAGTGCAAAACCAGGGGGAAAAGTCAGCCTCCTGCCTACCTTTGATCCTCACCATCCTCCCCATCTCCTCAGATCCCAGGAAAGAAGACTTGGTGAAAGCAACATGAGCTTGTTCTTTTGTTGCTAGGAAGGTGCAAATATAAAAGAGCCAGTGATATTAGACCTGTCTGAAGAACTCATCCAATCCTAGTCTTTGTGGCTAAGGGACACAAGGGAATATCCGGATTATTTCCCCAGTCTATGGCAGGTGCTTGCTTTGGCTAAACCCAGGATTGGAAGAGGATGCCACAGCCCTTCAGCCAAGAGCTCCTCCACCAAGCTGGGGAACAGGCAGCTGCTAAAAGCATGGCCTTTCCCTGGAGAGCAAGGCGACAGAGAGTTCAGGGTGTATGGGCTGGACTCTCTGCTGTGACCACAGTCCAAACAGACACTGGCAAACCCTCACTGTTTTTCTGACCTGCCGCTGCCTTGCCCATGGCCTTGGCCTCAGCCTCAGCCCTGGCCTTGAGCTCTGCCTTCAGCCACTTCTGTGCTTCATGATCCTCAGACTCCTCTGCCATCCGCAGGATCTGTGCACGTAGGGAAGAGAAACCATCCACAAGATTCCTTTTCTTGCCTTTCATCACGCAGACTCAACAAACCTATTGTCTGTCTCCTCCCTTCCTCCCAACAACACAAACTATTTCGTTTAGGTCCTCCCACAGCATGTCAGCACAGCTGGCTTTGCCCTGGGGATTGTCTCCATCTCCCTGGCACAAGCCTGGGAACGCTGGAGTGCTGTGGAGCTCGGGCAGCGTGTACATGGACCTGCCTTCTCACCTTCTTCTCAAGGTACTGCTCATCAAAATCCAGGGCGTAAAACTCAATGGGGAAGTTGCATGGGTTCTTCACCACCACTGTGGCCTCCATCCCATCACTGTCCACCAGCATCCATCCCATCTCTAGTTCTGGGGGGCTGAACTCCAGCCGTGGCTCCAGACCTTGTCCTGAGAGGTACAGCTTGAAGTGATTGCTGCTCCCAAAAATGTTAAGCTCCAGCTCATTACTGTAAGACCTCTGTAAAGAGAAAAGTGCAGGAAACTCATCCATGAAGTCTCAGATGACAGGACCCCAAATACAATGCTTGCCCCAAGGCTGGGGTGTTATCAGTGTCTCCAAGGTAAATGGAAACCAGATATTTACTTATGCTAGGGAGTACAGCATCTGTAGTAGTCTGAGTCTGAGTAACTGGGAAGAATGCTGGTGTGCACTGTAAGTGGGTATTTGGGAATCATATGGATGTACAGTGGACTGTCAGACATTTTCACCTGGTCATGCAGGAGTGCAATACTTATGGGAAGGGCCCTCAGGGTTACAGTGTCCAGACACAGTCCTGGCACTGCTGCATCAGGCAAACACCAGCTCCAGGAGAGGCAAATGAGCTCTTGCTGGCCAGAAATAAGGGTCATCTTCTCTGCTTAGTGTTTGGCTCTGGTCCAAGCCAGAAACAAGATGGTTACATTTCTTGAGCAATTAAAAGATCCCTGGGAGTGTGTGTGGGCACGGAAGCACTTGTGTCCATGCTGGTACACACTGCCACTTTCCAAGACCCAGCAGCCACAGGCAAACCACTTTTGGGAATGCTTTGTCCTTTGAGCTGAATCCCCAGCTGCACAGGAATGTGCAGGCAGGCCAGAGCCCCAGGGACTGCTGGCAGCACCCCACTACAGGTGACCGTCCTGCCGTGCCCAGGAAGGTGGGTGGTGGCTCTTTGGTCTGGCAGTCCTGCAGCAGGATGAGCCATTCCAGGATTATCCTCTGTGAGTGGGCAGCTGCTCTGCACTGAGTGTCACAGCTGCAAATACAGCCAGGCAAGGGGCAGGCTGAGGGGAGTTGGGCACATCCCCGCCATGCGCCAAGAGGCAGCCTCAGAGCCCTGGCGCTCTCTGTGCAAGCTCCCTGTGGGCATTTCAAAGCACATCTCACGGGAGTGCTCTGTGGGGTGAACTGAGCTCCCTGTGAAGGCAGAGCTCCTACCACACTCTCTGCACCAGGCCCTCATTTCCACATAGCCCTGACAGGCCTCCTGGGCCGACACCCGCCAATCTCACCTCCTCCTTGGGTGTAAATTTGATTTTCAGGTTCTGGCACCTTCCTGGATCAAGGGTTCCTTTGGAGGGCTTCACTTCAAAGGGACAGGGCTCATACTCCAGCGCCTGCTGCTTCTGACGAACAGCTGGTGTCATGTATTTGCAGTGATTGGTCTGGGCACAGAAACCAATTATGTGAGGTCTCCTCATGCTCTGAGACACTGACATGGTGCTGAGAGCACCCACAGCCAAACCAAGTGTGGACCCCATAGCCTACAGCAGGAGGGAAAACCTCACCCAGGGCAGGCAGATAGGGAACTACTGTCCTCAGAGGAGGAGGAGGAATGGGTGAAGATGGCAGAAAAGCAAAGCATCTGCTAATGGAACAGGTCCAGGCAAACCAGCCTTGTTCTAGACCCTCAGAAGCTTCCTCAAACACGCTGTAGACCCAAGTGCTCAGGCAGCCACAGGAGCAGAAAGGGCAAGAGTCACAAAGAAAACCCAACCAAGAAGTTTCGTGTTCAATGTTGCCTGGGCTTTACCTTCTGAACAGGCTTGATGGACCATTTGCAGGGTACTCGGAACCAGTTGTAGAGGTGGACTGTCTCAACCTTGTACTGCCCAACAACGACAGCAGAGTAGTGCACAATGTTCTTGGAAAGTTCGATTGACAGCTCAGACACAGTGGCATGAAGACGGATGTTATATGTGGGGCCTTTTGTCACCTGGAGAAGGACAGAGAACTCAGCGGAGGGTGCAGGTGACATCTGCTGCTGTGCCCAGCCTGCTGCCTGCCCCAAGAGCTGTGGTACCTCTATGGGCAGCACCACATCCACGTCACCCCGTGGCCGCCGGGCACTTTCAAAGCGCACGTCAAATGTCTTGATGTAGCTGTGGGGCAGGCCCTCCACCGTGTCCAGGTCCACGCTGAAACCTTGAAGAGATGAACACAAAGCAGCTGAGATACACCCGAAATACAAAATGTGTCATAAGCACATTTAGGCCTTACAGGTGTCCTGGCTTAGAGGTCTGGCAAAAGCCCCATGCCCTGCTGTGACCTGGATTAAAACTTCAGAGTGCACCTGAACACCCTTCAGACACAGCGAGCCACTGTGTGATGGAAGGGCAGCCTTGCCTCAAGGCCTCTTTTGGAAACCTCTTTTGATCCACCAGAGGATCTCACAGGCTGCTTCCTCAATAAAGGCTGAATACAAGTCCTGCGATAGTGTGAACTTCAAACAAAGCACTTCAAAAACACAGCAGACCCCACTGGTTGGCAAAGTAAGCCCATAGAGTGCCCAAAGAAACTCGATGCCCATGGGAGCCAAGGGTGGAAGATGCTGAGAGGTGACCAGGGTGATGGTCACCATTGGCCCCTGCACTGAAGCGTTAGGGCAGTCACAGGCAGGCCAGGTCCCTGGGCATGGCTGGCCAGGAGAGTTCTGCCTCTAAAGCTCTCAGCGGAGGCACTGAGAAGAAAAAGCTCAGAAACCTCCCCAGGTTCAATGGCTTAAGCTAATCTGCCTGAGACACCTCCTTCAAGCCCACAGGAAGTGTCTCCAGCACTGCTTACCTGTGTTCTCCAGGACAGATACATGGATCTGGAAGGACACTGGGATCTGCCCATGGTTGGTGATCTCCAGAGTGCTTCTCTCAGTGAAACCCTTACGGACAGTGCCCATGTCCAGGACATACTCGGGCACCTCAACTCTGCAAGGAAGATTAAGGACAGTCCTTAAACCACAGCCTGGCTACACATCCAAGTGGATGGAGGATACAAATACAGTGGCTATTTCTTTATTCACTGCTGTAAAAACTCAGCTCAAGCCCATGAAACCCATGGCCTAACCACCTGGCAATGACTTTGGCAAGTCAGGAGGATTGCAGCTCCTAGGTTTTTTCAGCTACTAATGGTACCTGAAAATAAGTTTAAAATGGACACTGGCCACAGCTCCTCTGCCATGAAAACCCAGTGTAAGTGAGTATACTAGGTCTCCAGTGGTCTCAATGAAACTGCTTAGCCTGGTGTACAGCCTGAGCCTGAAATTGCTTTGGGGCCTAGTAACAAGATTTGCCTGCACAGGAAATCTTCATTGCTCTGCAACCAGACCACACGACCTGTTCTGCAGAGCATCTTCTTCCTGAATTGAAGCTGCCGTGCTTGTGCTGCATCATGATGGTGCAAAGGGATGGACCAAGTCACCTAGATAAGCCCTGCCACCCCACCAGGGTTCAAGCCATCTGATGTTGGGTTTTAAAGGGTTTGCTGACACGTGCAGCTCCCTTCTCCTTTTGTTTAGTGGCTCTGTTGGTTGGAAGCAAGACCTCAGCTGGGAGTTGTCTCTTTCAGAGCTAGGCAGCAGGGACAGAATCTATGCTGTCTGCAAGGGCTAGAAGGTCTGCACTTGGGTCCCCCAGCTCTAGGGACAGAACCCCACACCTGTGGGGAGCTGAGCAGTGCAAAGCTCAGCGTGGTGCTGGGGAAGGGAGGACACTCCGCTGCTCACGTGCAGCGTGTCACAGCCACCAGGACCAGAGCCCTTCTGGAGTCCAGGCTGTTGCCAGCTCTGCAGACACAGGGAGCTCTCAGGAGAAGGGGACATGGCTGGGTGTTCCCCATGGGGCACCTGGAGATGGGGATGGGAGTCCCTACTCACTTGACAAGGCTCTGGCACAGCTCCTTGTCAGGGAAGCTGCTCGTCGGGGGTAGGGACATGAACTGTTCCTGCAGCTCCACAGCAGCCTTCACTACCAGGTTCCTCACCATGTTTAACTGCAACTGAGTGTTTGTCTGAGGAAAGGGAAGACAGGGGCTGTTTAGCAAAGGTCCTTCCCATGGTTTACACCTGAGAAAGGATCCCAGCCCACTCTTGTTGGGAGGGGGTGTGGGGTCATCCTGTCTGGCTGCTCAGTGCCTGTGACACCTCCTGCTCTCTTAGCCAGGACCTCATCTCCAGGGAAGTAACTCCAGCATCTTTGCCTGCCCAGACACTGTTAGCAAAGCTGATCTGGCCAGGCAGACAGACAAGCCAGGAACCTTCCAGAGCTCCAGATACTTGCCTGACCCCAGCCTGTACCAAGGCAGCTTGGACAAAAACTGTCTTGAAAGGGGGACCAAGCTGGTGCCTATTGGAGATGAGCCCTGCCAGCACAGCCCCTGGGCACAATCAGGCAGCTGCTGATAAGATCTGTAAATCTGGCAGGGCTTGGGCTGGGACCAACAAACTCCCCAGCAATGATCTGCATCTCCTTCAAAGCACCATCAACTCCATCCCTGGAGCGTGGCCTTCAGCATCTCTCCCTGGGGTAGGCAGGAAGCTGGTGCAGCCCCAGAGGAGACCATGGCCAGCGTGGCAGCCCTAGGGCCAATGCTGAGGTGACACATGGTTCTAAGTGGGCAGGGAGGTCCCGGGTGCCATCAGGGCAGCAGGAGCTGCTGTGGGCTGCAAGGGGCTCAGGTGACATGGGGAGGTGGCCTGTGCCAAACGGGGCTGCAGCTGTTCTTACTGCAGTGCCAGAGGCAAGCACGCTGGGCTGCAGGTCCCGAGTCTTCGGAATCAGACTCTTTGGAGTCTGAGCTTCTGCGGTCTGAGACTTCAAGGTCTCAGTCTTCAGGCTCTGAGTCTTCTTCCGAGCACCTGATTTACTCCTCTGACTGTGTTGTTGCAGCGGTTTTACGGGCTGTGTCAGAGACTTCTCATGTGTTTCATCTCCTGAAGGAAGAAAACATCCACAAAGAGAAGGGTGAGCAAAGTGCTAGTCCCACTGAAGCTGGGAAGTCCCCACCTCCCAACACTGGTTTCTTCCAGAAAGAAATCCCTCAAGCCATCTATGGAAAGTGGATGCTGCTGCTCCTCTCTGAATTCTCATGTTCGCTCCCACCCACCTCCCTTGCCACTGAGGAGCAGCTCATCCCCTGCAATGTCACACAAACCCAACCCTGCCACAAGCCCTGCCAGCCTCTCTTACAGCTTTCCCAAGCCTTTCACTCTAGCCATCGTCCTTCAGGACCCTGCCAGATGAGCTGGCAGGCTCTGCAGGTTGGTTCCTGGGACAAAGTCCACATGGGATCCTCTGCTCAAGACTCATGAAGCAACCAGGGGGCTTGAGTTGGTCTGGGAGTCCTGCAACCCTCCGGGCTTGGTGGAGGTTGGCATGAGCTGCCCTACGGGCCTATGGTAGGGAACAAAACCAGAGGGGCCCTTCCTGGGGGCAGACAGGCAGTGCCCACCTTTGATGGTCCAGGGCAGGTTCAAAGTGATCATGGGAAAGGATGCTTCTCCTTTCAGGAAGATATTTTCTGGTTCCAGGTCACCCACTTTAAGATGGTAAGTCCTGCTGAAGGCTCCTGGTAATCCTGGCATGTAAGAGAATTCCAGCACTTGCTTCTCACCAGGTGCAATGGAGCCCTGCATGGACAGGAGAGGAGGGAGGGAATGCATCAGAGTGTTTGATGGGGATGGCTCAGGGGACAGACAGGCTGAGCAGACAGGTTCTCATCGAGAAGAAACCATCAGACCACATCACCTTAGTGATAAACATATTACAGTGTTGGCTTTCACAACTGTTAGAGTAAATACTATGTGTTTTATAATGTTGACTTTTGTAAAAGAAGTTTTGCTAAAGTTTAGAGTTCTTTTAATGCAAATGTTGTGTTGTGATACCAATGTTGGTGAAGAGTTGTTGTAGTATTAACACTTAACCAATGAAGGAATGGAAACCTGTTGAATGTGCTGTGTGTCCTCCCCAGGGCTCATAAGGCTGCAGCCCCAGCACAGCCCGATGTGAGCACAGCTCTGCTGCTGATGGGGTTTGCCCTCTGCCAGCAAGAGCCCGCCTCATCAAAAAAAGGCTCTTGTGCTGCCGCTGTGGAAGGGAAATCCCTGCACTGAGCAGGGCCAGCAGCTCCTCTCATCCCTTGCAGGAGGCAGGCATGAAGAAATGGAAAGCCAATCGGCTTCCTCTTCCCACTGCAAGGAGGGACAAAGGCAGGAGCGCTGCTTCGGCTCAAAGACATCCATCCAGACAGGACTGAGAAGCTTGCACAGTGGTGGGATGCTGCTAATTTTTCTCCAGCTCTTCCAGCCCCGCTGCTCCCTGGCCCCCTCACTGCCCCACAAAGGCGCTGCACAGCAACAAAGCTGGAAGAGGCAGGGAGCAGCAAGCCTACTAAGGGATGTGTGATCACACAGCCTGGGTAAGGTGACCCTCAGAAACGCTCCAGTGCCAGCACAGCCCGAGATCTTAGCCGTCGGGGTCCCCAGAGTGACTGTGAGCAACCAATTAAATTTTAAGTTATGCCACAACATATGTTATAAATCCACTTTCTGACATGGGGTGAAAAATTACTATAGAGGCTGTAGACGTGCTGGGAGCCTTAAACATCCCATGTGTAAAGGAGATCCTTTAGGAGAAAATGCAGACAGGCTCTGTGTCTGGGGGGCTGCAAGAGATTTCCCCCTTGGAGGCAGGCAGACCCCGAAGCCCGGGAAAATTTTGCCCGTCTGACCAACAGTCTTCCTAAAAGGGCTGAGTTACGGGAGGAATCTTAGCATATTCAAGCAGTTAACACTGCCAGGTTTTCTCTGCCATTTTTGCTTTTTGTTGGGCTTAGAGCACCCGGAGGGTCCGGCTCCCTGCAGAGCCACTTCTTCCCTGTCTGTCTACGCTGCTGTTGCCTCTTCCCCGCTCGCCACGGCAACCCAGTGCTCCTCTGCTTCCCCGAGGGAGCAGCCGCCGTGTCCCGACCGGGACCGGCCGCAGCCCGCGGGACAGCCAGCCCTGCTGCCGGTCCATGGAGCCGGGCACCGCTGCCGGCCCATGGAGCCGGGCTCCGCTGCCGGCGAATCCAGCCCGGCCCCGCTGCCAGCCCATGGAGCCGGGCTCCGCTGCCGGCCGATCCAGCCCGGCCCCGCTGCCGGCCGATCCAGCCCGGCCCCGCTGCCGGCAGATCCAGCCCGGCCCCGCTGCCGGCAGATCCAGCCCGGCTCCGCTGGCGGCCGATCCAGCCCGGCCCCGCTGCCGGCCGATCCAGACCCGGCTCCGCTGCCGGCCGATCCAGCCCCTCACGCCGCGGCGGGCACGCACGCTGGGACGGTTGGCAGCACTTGCTCCATCTGCTGAGCAGGACCCGACACAGCGCCTCAGGGCTCTAGCAGCGACGATTTGTCCCCGTCCTCTCTTTGCTCTGTCCGGTTCTTATTTTCTCTCTCACTCTTTTCTGTCCCCTTCTGGTCGGGACCATACCCTTTCTTTATCAAGAAACAGTTTTCAGATATAAGGCTGCATTTGTGCCTTATTTTCATCTGAGAAATCTATCAAAAAGAATTCTCCTCTACTCCCCTTACAGCAGGACAGACAGCGACCAACACACCTGTGCCTCCCGCTGGTGTCGCCTCTGACAGCAGAGCCACCCACCAGCCAAGGCAATTGGGAAGTCTATCAGGTGAGCACTTGTTTGACCTTCTCTGCCCCCGGCAGAAATGGATTACAGCTCTGTCTCTCTCATGGCTGGGTTTGGGGTTTTCCCCTCCGACTTCCCCCGCCCCAGCTTTTTTCCTTCCAAAACTCTCCTGGGCCACCTGACACAGGGCTGGGCTCAGTCACTTGTGCTACTTACAGTGGTGGGGTTGACCAGAAACACACCAGGCAGACGCTGGTCTGCAGGGCTAGGGTTTAGCACCCAGCTGAATTCCATCTTGCCGGTGTTCTCCAGGGTGACATTGCTGTGATGAATTTCATTAAACAGCTGGAGAGAAGGCACAAGAGAGGGAAGTTACAGACCCAGGCCTGCTGCTAGGAATCCCCTTCCTCTCTCCTGGGTTTGAAAGCAGACACATCATGGGAGCTGGGACCAGGGAGGAGATAGGGGCACTTGGGAACCCGGGAAACGCCCAGGCACAGGGCACCTGCACAGCACCAGGGAGCTCTGGCAGCACACAGAGCTGTGGTAACAACCACGTGAGGGCCAGCAATAGATGAACCAGGGGACACAGGCCCTCCTCTGCCCTCTGAGGGGTCACCAACAGCCAGGAGAAACAGAGACAGCACTGAGGCATTCCAGGAGAAAAGGCACCTGCATGCAAGTACTGGCAAGAAACATACATGCAACAAGGGAGTCACCCAGGGCAACACAGACAGGGCCAGCAGTTGGAAATATCTGTGGGCTTTCAATTGAAAAAGAGTGAAGTGGGGATTATTCTGGGACAGTCTCTCCAACTGTAGTGACTGGAAGCCCAACTTCTTTCCTTGATCATTGTGTGGATTAAGCAAGAGCTTTAGACAAGAGCATCTCCTTGGAGGTCAGGCTTTAGGAGTGGACCAGCAGAGGGATGTCTCAGGGACACACCCCTCAGAGCATCCCCACTGGGCCCCTGCCTGCCCCAGGAGGCAGCGCTAGGTACCCTGAAAAAGAGGCATTCCCAGCATTGTGGAGAGGGTGGGAGATGGCCATTTTACAGCAGCTTGGATGCCAGATGTGTCCCTCAAAGGTTGGACTTCCAAGCCCCAGAGCCAACAAAGGGGCTGGGAAGGGCAGGGAGCCCTGGAGCGAGGAGGGCAGGAAGCCAGCAAGGCAAGGAGCTGTGCCAGGGGTGTGTGTGGTACCTGAGAGCCACAGTAGGTCTCCCGGGGGCTCACGGAGTAGCTGATGCATGAGGCCTCCCCAGTCAGCATCACCTCGTAGGTGGGGCCTCCCTCCACGTAGCACAGCGCCGTGACATAGGAGATGGTGTTGAAATGGCTGCAGAAGGTGAAGGAGACCTGCTGGCTCTCTCCTGGCTGCAGCACACCTGACAGTGGCAGGATACTGAAAACCTGAAGGACAGGAGAGATTGAGGTGTTGCGCATGGAAATGGATGCAAAGAGCATCTTGGAGCAAAGTGCAGCTGTACCTGGAGGGGCCTATTCCACAAACACTGCCAGAATCACCCTCATCTCATCCTGCATCCACGCCATTGACCAGTGCAGGGACCATGGGGAAAATCTTCTCCCATACTCACGGATCAATGCATTAATTAATACACTACATTAAAGTAAATGTCTCCTGGCAGTAGAAATTCTCTCTGATGCACAACTTGCCTTTAAAAAGCATTTCTTACTGCTTTTAGCAAAAGTGGACACTCAGAGTGAGAGCTCTTGGAGCTCAGGGAGCTCAGAGAAGAACTCCAGCCCAGCTCATCTGACTCCTGAGGCCTTTTCCCTTTCTCTCTGATATATATGGTGCGTTCTCAAGGTGCCTCAGCAAAAGCTCCTGCAAAAATTTCCTATGAGATGAGGTCCAGGGGGAGCAGTGCCCTCCATAGGCGCTGCACAGTATCCTTGGGCAGCCCTACAAGGTGTCCTGCACAGCCTCTCCAACTACCAGCTGCTCCAGCAGCACTTTGTGATGGGCCTGCAGGGATGGGAGGCCCCTCTGTGGCCAATGCTGAGGGCCCCCAGTGGCACTGGCAGCTGCAGCCCTGCTTGCCACACTGACAATGGGCAAGGGAGACAGATTCCCTCTTACCTCCTCCGTGGCCACGGGAGTGTGCAGTACATCCCTGGGGGGCATGGTTCCCACCAACTCTAGTGGGCTGTAATACCGTGGCACCTGAAAAAGAAGCCATTTTCTATGCTGGGAGGAAGAGACAGCCACTTTGCAAAGTCCCACTTTGTAAGACAGCTTCAGGGCCAGCAGTGCAATAGCAGCTCTCTAGTGAAAGCAGAGCCCTGCAAACAGGGAGTCTGGCTGGGTTGGGAAGAGGCTCCATGGAGATCAGGATCATCCCAACTTGCTCTGGGAGGGAAGCTGGAGGTGTTACCATGATGATGCAGAGAAAAGCCTCATCTTACATTGGGAAGGAAACAAGGCAAAAAATCCCACACTCAACACAGATCTGTGGGATCTGAGTCAGCTTCTCCAAGGAAAACTCTCCTATTTCTCCCTCCCCCTCAGCCCATGTCCAGCCACTGGCCCTGCTGCCCAACCAACTCTCAGGGCATAGCACAGCAGGGCAGCAAGAAGAGAGGTCAGCAGCACAAGCATGCCCTGGTGCTGGCAGGCTGGGGAGGCAACACAAGCACTAGGTGTACAAGAAAATCTACCTCTGCTACTGAAGAGTGGGCAGAATCCTGCAATCCTTGCAGGGCTGTGGCTGGCTCCTGCACACTTCTAAACCTGAGGCGTCTCCTGAGAGATGAAGCGGAAGGCAAACTGGTTCTCCTCTCCTTGGGTGGTCGGGGTTTGAATCTAGCTGAGCTAAGCTCGTATCTGGAATATAACATAACTATGAAGAGGGAGCTGCAGTGGGAGGGAGGGACAGCTGCACGAGCAGCTCCTGGCCAGGATGCAGCCCCTGGGTGGGTGCTGGCACGTTGGACTGGAAATGGTTTGATCCAGCCCTTCCCAATCCAGGCTGGGGCAGGTCTGTTCTAAAGGCAGCCCAGGGATGGCACTGAGGTGCTGCAGCAGCTGCAACTGCTTGCATTGAGCAACTACAGAGGACAGGCATCAACACCTGGTGGGGATGCAAAAAGCACAGTGGGAGTGGAAAAGACAGAGCAGCTCCTGCAGAGAGGCCCCATCCCAAAGCAGAGGGGCCAGAAAGGCCTCCAGCAGCACTGTGGGAGCTGGGACTGGGAGCCTTTCATCAAGGTGGACATGGCCTCAGGCCACAGAGGTCTGAGAAAGCAGCTCTCACCCCAGCTTTCCTTCCCAGGGGAAACCACTCTGGGGGCTATGCAGCATCAAACTGGTGGAAAACCTATTCCCTGAGCACCCAGCCTGAGCACAGCTGGTCGGTGTTATTTGCACCAGAAAAAGTCAGAAGCAGTCTGTCAGATCCCAGGCAAACAGCTTTGTTCTTTGCCAAGCACAAACAGGACACCAGCAAGAAGAGCTTCAAGGAGAGGGCAAAGGTGCACATACCTCAACCTGTAAACCTGGCTCTTGGAATGGAATGACCAGTGGTACTGGACGGGCAGTGGGCTGCAGTTGGTTATCTTCAGAGAACGCACTTCTTCAGTGCCAGCCACAATGCAGCCAAACTCCAGGGATCTGGACTGCATTTGGAGATTTGGGAAGTGCACTTCTCCCCGAAGGATGATACGCTCCACAAGAGGATGGCCCCTGACCATGTCTATCTTCAGAAGCTTCTCTGTTTTCCAGCTCTTAAAATCCAGTTTATAAGCTGGGTCGAATGCGATGTAGAGATGGCAGGTCTCCCCTACACCCACTCTCACAGGCTGCAAGGAGATGAGCAGTAATTAATCACCTGTGGGATGATGTCCCAAGGCCTGACAGCAGCAAACAGTAAATGCTCCAAGTGAGCCCAGCATGGGCTCCTCAGTTCATGGTTCATCTCTCTACAGCAGGGGTCTGACTGCAGGCACCACAGTCCAGTCCAGGATCGCTCAGGCTCCCGTTGCTGTGCTCAGCCCCAGTCCAAGGGGGTGGCTGCTGGAGAGCTGGCATGCTTTCCAGGAGACACCTTTACTGCATGCCTTGCCCAGACCCAGCTGCCTGCTCCCTTCTCCCTGTGCCTTATTAAAGCCAGGATGGATCTTCTCAATTCAGATACTATTTTGATTCTTTCAGCAGCTCTGCTGATGCAGCTCAGGCCAGCCCACTGCTGATGCTACAGAATAAACTTCTTGACTCAAGGAGCTCCCAAGAGAAAGGCACCACCACATCCCTCCTCTTCAGACCCCACTGGAGGAGTCAAGGGCTGCTCACCTGGCCAACTGGGAGGGGCTGCTTCTCCTTATCACAGACCAGGAATGGCTGCTCCAAGCCCAGCATAAGGTCCAGTGGCAGCAGGCAGGTGTTTTTTATGGCCAAAGGCTGGTAGTGCAGCCTCAGGACATCACTGGGTTTCTTTGGAAACAGGAGAGAAGGAAAACCAGCCTCAACTAGCCATAGACGTCCTTCTCCTTCTGCTGCATCTCACATTCTTCAGCCCAGAAGTGCATACATCTCTATTTACCCTTTCTATTTGTTTCTACCCTTCCAGGAGGTTTTTCCTGACAGCAGATGCTTTTCATGTTTAGAAACCACAGCATCCTCTGGGGGACAGGGAAACACACCCATGTACAGATGAGGGAATAGGCTCCTGAGAGGAGGTGGCTGCTTGAACAAGATCTAAAGCAGAAAGTGAATCCAGACCATTTGTCTCCAGTTTTGTCTTTCTGTTGGGCAAAACAGCACTAGAGGATCTTCACTCACAGACGGTCATTTCTCACAACCTTATTGGCTCTAGCAGCCTCACAAAAGCCCGGGCTCTTCCTTCCTGTCTGTGCATTGTGCTGGGCTTCCTGCATGGTTCAGAGAAACCAGAGCCTTTGGGAAGCTGGTTCTGGAGGTACTGGTATCCAACAGGTGCTGTGCCATAGTATGCCATAAATCAGTTTGTGTGTGTGGCATTGAGCAGAAGCCAGGCAGAATCAGGGAGGGCTGAAAAGCCTCTAAATTACATCTGAACTGCCTGTTCCAGGGGGGATTCTGTACTTCAGTGGAAGCCTGGGAAACCAGAGGAGAGGCCTGAAACTACAGAAACCAAAGGATGAAAGATCTTCTCTTTTTTAGACAACTTGCAGGAGAGGGAAAGGTGATGCTGGAGTGGGGATCCAGAGACTAAAGGGCACCTGCTCTGCCTCAGTGTCATCACTGCAGTTGCAGGATGCCTGGGGCTCCTTTGAAGACTTAGGGAAATGCACAGAGCTGTACTATATAACTCTACCATAAAGCATTCATGCCAATAGCAGAGAAGGCAAAGAGACATAGAAGGTGATGGGTTTTTCCTTGTCAGCCTGAGGAATTCACAGGAATCTCCATTTTTCCCAACTTCCCTACAGTATCGGTGTACAGACATCACCATGCCTTGGAGCATCCTCCAAAACCTCTCTTTACAGTGAGCAGAGAAATTGGCATTTCTCTGGAAGTGGCCATGATCCCCCTTGGCAGTGCAGCTGTAACTGCAGTTTTACTTTGGGGAAATTAAATACCAGTCTCATCCCTAAAAGCATCTTCACTCACTTTACAGAGTGCCTCAGGAAGGGTAAAGAGGGGCTTTAACACAAGCACACCCCCCCCTCAGCCATGCCGTTAAATGCCAGCATGCAATCCAGACTTACCTTGGTCACCTGGAAAGAGAAGTGTCTGGCTGACAGTTCTATAGAAGGGTGAATAAACTTGCAGGTAATGACTGTCTCCATTATCTTCTCAGTCCTGCCGGTTGCCATACTGACAGCTTCACACATCACATAATCCTGCACCTCCTGCGTGCGAGAGTCACTTGTCACCAGTGGGTGGTGGCAGAGCATCCGGCAAATGCCCTCCACTGGCTCAGCACCCGCCACCCACCACAGGCTCTATAATTGCCACAGAGTTATGGTCACTGCCCCCTTTTCTTCCAGTGATGCAGCTTATTTATTTTGTGCTCAATTGTTGGTAACACTGCACCCCAATACCCACAAAAGGCACTTGTGAGATAACTCCCTCCCTTCACAAGGCTTTTGTTTTACTCCATGCTTACCCCAGATAAATCACTTGGCACTTGTTTAATTCACTTTCTTTTTGGGCTTTTAGACTAAGTGTAACTTATTTCTCTGCCCTTCTTTGCTGACTCAGCATGCAGCACTGTTTGCCCAAAAAGAGCAATATTTCCTTCCACTGCTGCTTTGGGATCAGCACTGGGTTTTGGTAGCTGTGGAATCACAATAAAGCCTTAGCTGGTCTGATGGTGGCCAGCAAGGAAAGTAACTGGTGCTGCCACAGAAACGTGTGGTCTTACATCAGCTTCTTGAAGGCCTCTGCTCAGTTCCCCAGGGAAATGTCAAGGGAACAAGCCCGGGGAGGGGATCTGATGGTGGCCCAGGCTCAGCCCACGGTGGGGACCTCACCTGTGCGATGCTGGAGAAGCCTCGCAGCACCATGTCCTCAGAGCGGCCTGGCTGCAGGTCCATCGACAGCGGCTCCAGCCCAAACAAAGGCTCGGCACGTTTGGGGCTCTGGGAATCATCCTTGGGGCTGCTGAGGGCTGAGACACTCTGGCTCTCCTGCTCAGATGGGCTGTAGCATTCCACACTCCAGAAGAGCCGATGGAAATGGTGGCCCCTGTTTGTTACTTTGAACTGACGAATACAGGGCACCAGGCTAGAATAGAAGGCAGGATGGAAAATAGTATGGGATTTGCTTTTTCCCTGGTCATCAGATTGCTCCCAGTGAGCAACTTGAGGTGTTAATTGCTTGGAGACTGTCTACATTTCCAGTTCCTAATGCGGACCAGAAATAGTGTCTGATAAGGTGCCCTTTTGACATCGTTATTTCAAAGGGAAATATGTTTAAAATGGTAATGCAACATTTGCCAGGTGAGGCTAACAGAAGGTGGTGTTTTCCTCCAAGATGTTTGTTCTGGGTTGATTCATACTGTTACTGTCTTTTGTATTAATCTGTGCCTGAAACTGTTACTGAATCTTTGAGATCCTGCACTGGGGGACATTGTGTGGGGGGGTATGATTGCAGACATTTCTAAAAGCCAGCTCGGAGGCAGTTTCTGGATGATCCCAGCAAGCTGGTAAAAAGTGTCTGCCTGCTCCAGGAGAGGACACCAGGGGTGCAGAGCCTCCGTCGTTCGTAGTAGCTTTGGTTTTGCACTGCTAGCCATTTGTAGAAACTTCATTTTGCATTAGAAACTGTTTGGAAGTGAACTTTGCAAACTCTGCTGGCAGTGAAAAATCGAGCGAGGTCCTGGGCAGAGCAGGGCAGCAGCAGAGCCCACGAAGAGCACGAGGAAGCGGCGGCAGCGGCCGTGCGGACCCCGCACAAACCAGAGAGTTTCCATCTGCCTCTGGAACTGCTCTGTGCGCTCCTGCCTTGCCCGTGGGGGTTGTCACCCTCCTGTCTCTTTGTTCCCAGGGCCCCTGCTTGCCATTTTGGAAGGGAAGGGTGTGATGCCATCTTCCCTTGGTCCCTCAGCCACATGGAGGGACTGCCTCATCTGGACACCATTTCAGGAACCTTTTGTTCTGGGGGAGCCTGTGAGATCATTACTTGGTCAAGTGAGGACATCAATGTATCAGAGCTAAAGACAATTTAATGGCAATTTAGCAACTGGTTTCCCTGTCAGTGGCTTTTGAGGGTGTCTAACAACTCTCAACTGGCCATCACATGCTTCTAAAAGAATCTCTGCCTTCAGGGAAGGAGTCAGGGCTTTCAACACTGAAGAAGACCTTGCCTGAAGGACTACAGCAAAACTGCTCCTTGTTGAGACAGGAGGAGGAGAGGTGGGAGTGGAGAGATCTCCTACCTGAATTGGTATCCCAGGTTGAGCTCTGGGCTGAATGGCTTGTCTATGACAATTGTGGTGCCAGTGCCCAAAGCCACCAGCCCGAAGGCGGTGCTAAGGCTGCTCCCAATGAACACCCGGACAGGGACAGAAAAAAGCCCCCTGTCATCCAGGGTTGCTGTGACAGTCACAGGCACCTCACCCCCAGCAGGGATCACTCCTTCGCTGGGTTCAACGGTACAGCAGTGGCGTTTGCGAACCTGTAAGACAAGCACAACATGCATTTAGGAAACCACCCTGGTCTCTTGTGGGCCACAAGAGAAGAAAGACTAAAGAGAGGATGATAAAAATCATAAAGGTTTAAAATCCCTAAAATACAGTATTGGGCAACAGCAGAGTTCATACAACCTGTATTTTCCCCTCCTTCAATGGACTCACCTAATTAACCCAGTTTTGCCCAACCCAAGGGACGCTTATCCTCAGGAGAGTGTTCCTTCCCCAATCTTTCTACGCAGTGTGGGCCAAGGAAAGCTGCTTTCTCTCTCTCACAAAGGCTCAAGGCCACAGGAAGCCAGGACTGCTCAAATCCCACTGCAGGAACCACACGGCTGGAGGATACTGCTGAGAGCCTGAAGAGTCTCTCTGCAAAACCAGGGAAGCAAACCCCAACACCAAACTATTCTTCCCCAAGGAGCCATCAGTGCTTCTCAACATCCCCTAAAGGACTGAAGCCCTCACTTCCCACTGATCATCAGCTGTAGAGAGGTGCCCCAGGGCCCTCTGCTTTGGAAAAGTCACCTCTAAATGCTTCTAGCAGAGCAGGAAAGTAGGAAGCAGAAAGAAAACTGGATGCATGTGCTCTGTGGGCATGGCCCACTCTTCCCAAGAACTCTTGTCATCTTGTTTCTCATGGACTTCACGGACTGGGCAAGAGAGCTGGAAGGTGCCCACAGGAGGGGGAAAGGCCTTGCACCAGCACAGCTCTACAGACACAGCTCTGCAGGTCTGGCCCTGGTATGAGCACGTGAAACCCAACCTTTACACACCATGAGCACCCAGCCAAGGTGCACTGCTCCCTGCAGAGGCTGAAAGCAGAACTCCATTGTGGAAACAGCTGGAAAAGCAGCAAGAGGAAAATTCACACCCCTCCTCCTTGGCCCAGGAGGCTGTGGCTGGACTCTCCCACACGGCCTGATGCTTTACCCACAGACACAAACAAGTCCATAGCATCAGGTTTTATCCAGCTCCACAAGTTCAACACACCCAGCCTGAAGAAGAACAAACCTCAAGCCCCTCACAGATCTCCCCCTCCAGCAGACATCCCAGCCAGCCCCAGGCCCAGCCTACAAGCCCTTCCTGGCTGCACCAGCCCTGCTCCCCCTGCCAGGGGAGCAGCCCCAGCTCCCTCTGCCCTCTGCAGCCCCCCATGTATTAGGCAGCCCTTCTCTGCAGCTGCTCCCCAAAGATGCTCTTCAATAGCACAGAGGTCACAGGCTGGGGGGGTTCACAACCCCCACACTTGTCTTTGTGTGGACAGCCCAGATGGCTTGACCCACAGGAGCCTCCACATGAGCAGTTTGGCACAAAGCAACTGTAGGTGGACAAGGAAACCATTGGGAAATCCATGCTCTGGGGAGCAAAGGCCCACAGGTTTCTCTTGAGCGCAGGGCTCCAAAAATGTGATCACGCAAAGCTAAAGACCTTCCATAAAATTAAGGGAGAACTTGTCAACACAATCCAGATTAATTTCTGCTCCAACATCTCTGCGCCTGATTTCACTGAGGGCTGCCCCAGCTAAAACCACTCCAGAGCCAGGTTCCTCTTGCCTCGCTCAGATGGAATATTGGAGTATCTTGCCTCCTCTCACACAGGGCAATATGGAAATCTTGCACATAAAAACCAAGTCATGGCTGCTACTGACCAGTCCATTTCCCTGGAAAACAGCCCCACAGATACTTACAACCTCCATCCTGAAGTCTGTAGGGACATGACCTTTGTTGAAGAGGGTAAGACTTCGTGAAGTAGGCTGTAGTGCTGGGATCTTGCCAAACTCTATCAGCCTGGGACTTGGGTAGATTTGTGCCAGCTGTCCAGTGCTCCGTAATTCTGGTCTCTGTTCCAGGAAGCAGGCAAGAAAGATTAAAAAAAAAAAACAAAACAAACCATAACAGGGAAACCTAAAAAAGCTTAAACAGCTCAACTGCACTCGAGTTGTTTCTTTAGGGAATGCTTCCACTTTCCAGCTGAAATGCTGGGCTTTTAGAAAAAAAAAAAATATTCACCTCCAAATTAAAAAGGATTAAAGTATGAGAAACTTTCCAACCACAAATTATTGGCCCAAAGGCAAAAGCTTTGCAAGGAATTTCTAGTTAAGACCAGGCTGAGAGTTAAACAATTAGTTATTCTGGTGGGGAGAAACCCTCCTCTTTAAGGGAAGCAGCCTGATAGTAGAAAGCAGCTGTTTTGTCAGACTTCAGCTTGCGCTGCCTGTCCTGGCACAGCTTGCACTGCCTGTCCCTCCTGTTCACTGAGTTACATGCAGTGCCACAATGGCCCAGGTTCAGATGTTTGGTGCCACCCAGGGAATTTGGCATCATCATTTCCATCTGTTTTAGTATAAATTTACATCCCTCTCCAACCACTCTTCAAATGCCAGCTTTCCTTTCTTTAAGAGAAGGCTCAAGGTTCCCAGAAGTCTTCTGACATCCTCTTTTGTGCTCAGAGAGATGACAAGACATTTTAAAACAGATGTTTCCAAAATTAACATCATTAAAGATTAATTAACTAAAATAATCTTTGATTCCAGCTTAGATGAACGACCTTCTGTGTCAGACACTGAGGTCACCACCTATGAGGCACGGGCTGTTTGTGCCACCGGTCCCTCCTGTCCTTCTCCCCAGCAGCCTGTGCCTGTTTTCCCCAGCAGAGTCCCTGTCCCTGTGCACCCTGCCAGGAGCAGCTGCACACAGGCTCACATCTCCCCTTGCCCTCACCAGGGGGTTTCTCTCATCCCCGAACACGCCGATGAGAATGTCGGTGCGATGCTTGTCCAGTGTTTGGACTTTGATTATAACCGGGACCTCGGCAAAGCTGTGAGGCTGGACGATCCCACAGGGCTTGGGGCTGCTGTAGAGCACAGGAGAGTCCTCCTTGCGTTCCTGGAAGGGACACCATGAAATGCAGCTTCAGAGGGACCTCTGAAGAAACCTTAAACTCCTGAACATCCGCTGCAACGGCAACTTACACACATGTTTAAAAATCCCCAGAACAAAGGTCAAAGACAGAAACAAGATGCAAGAATTGCAGGCTTAGCATTCTCAGGGGGTCCTGCAAGGAGGCTGCCAGCACAAGCATTGGTGTCTGTGGATGCAGCAGCTTTTCACAACTCTCGAAGATCTCTCACAAGAAAACACCCTGAAGACTAGACCAGAACATCAACTGTTTCCTCAGGAGGTTGAACTGCATCCTAAAGTTTACATTCAGGATCCTGTTCTCAGCAGATCTTTAAGACTGAATAGAAACCAGCAAGGCTTTATCCAAACGCTTTTTTCCCCTCATAATCTCCTCAATAATATTTGAGAGGAGGAAGTGGATGTGATGCCAAACCTGGGGAATAAGCCCGTAGCAGCCAGGAAAGTCGGTGTCATTTGCAATGAGGAACTTCCTCTCGTATGGCACATTCAGGTGGCACTCATCGTACAGCAGGATTTCAGGGTACACTCGCAGCTCAGGAACGAGACACCTGGGCAAAGAGATGACCCCAGGGGAATCAGAGATACTGAGAGAAGGGAGAACGTTTACCCCCAAAGATTGTGAAATGGAGCATAACACTTGTCACTATCAAATAGATATTTAACAGCCCTACAGTGATAAATTGCCTTCTACCTCTTCCCACTCCAACATGTCTTGTCAAGGAGGGGCAAACCCTGAGAGGCAGCACCCAGAGGCTGCCAAGGGCCCCAGGCAGAGCACTTTGCCCCACAGCTGCCTCAGCCCCTCCTTTACCCAAGAAGGCTTGCAAGGACTCCTGGAACAGTGCCAGCGACCCACGAGCTCTGGGGGAGCCTTCCCAACAAGGATCAGTGCTCCCTAAGGCTCAAGGAACACACAGCTCCAGTGTCTCAGTAAAAATGACTCGACAAGGATCAGTGCTCCCTAAGGCTCAAGGAACACACAGCTCCAGTGTCTCAGTAAAAATGACTCGACAAGGATCAGTGCTCCCTAAGGCTCAAGGAACACACAGCTCCAGGGTCTCAGTAAAAATGACTCCCTTCTCTGCCATGGTGCTGTTGCCCTGCCTGAGAACTCAGCTCTTTGCCCCAGCCCTGGAGGGCACGAGACAGCAGCTGCCCCACAGAGGGGCTGATCAGCCCCTGCCAGGCCCTGCAGCTCCCTGGCTCCTTCCCTGCACAGCTCCAGGCACTGCCTGGCCCCAGCTCCACCTGCTGTACACAATGGCAGCCCAGGCACTGCCTGGATGGCTCTGCCTGGCACAGGGAACAGCACCAGGGAGCTGCATCCCTCTGGGCATCACACTGACACCCACAGCAGCACAGCAGCATGGAATTCTGCAGCAAGAATGACTTTTGGTTTAAGTCTGAGAACATTAAAGCTCAAAATAGGAAGCACAGGGAAGGAGAAAAACTGGAACTGACCTGCCCCATCAAGGGCTGCTTTCCCCTCATAAGATCTTGCACTCACCACTGTTTCTGTGAGCCACTTTCCCCTGTCACCTGCTGTCATTAACAGAACCAGACCCTGACTCTCAGCAGGCTGCCTGGTGTGGCCCAAACCAGTGCACGGTGCTCACAACCAGCACAACTCCACCTCTTGCAGGAAGGAGAGGAGGCCCTTGGGAAATTTGTTCTACCCCAAGGAACAAACCCCAGGCCAATAAAAATATCATTCCTGATCCCTTTAGAAAAAGGCTCAGGACTGTGCTGGGCTATGAGCAGGGGTGCTTTTCACCACAGGCTGCTGCCCAAGCACTGCTGTTCTCGTGTCCAGCTGGCACAACATGAGGGCATTCAGCAGCACTTCTCCTTGGCAGCTGCAGCCAGCACAGCCTGGGCAAGGCAGGGCCTGCGGGAGGCCAGGCAAGGGCTGGTACCTGGCTGTGATGACCAGTGCTGTCACTCCCTTGCCAAAACCCTCCAGGTCCACCAGCATTCTCCGGTAGAAATCCATCACGCTGTTGGAACACAGGGTCACCTGGTGCAAGAGAAAAGTAGTCAATTCTTCCTTACAAAAGCTCATTACTCACGTGTGTGGAGAGCCTGGTTCAAGCATGGCTTAAAGAAAGAGGCCATGAAGGTATACAGCTGATGGGAAAATAAAAGGCAGCTGTAAGGTTTTCAGGCTTGATTTTGTAAATAACTAGGTTCTCAGGCACCTTTTTTATAAACAGCAGGATTCTCAGACTGTCTTCTCATAACAGTCCTTGGCTGTTCTGGGAACAGATATGAAGGTTTTGAGAACTTTTCATATCACAGTGAGAACACTAATTTTGGTTTCAATAAACAACCACAAAACTCTAACCACCCAAAGGAGGGGTTAGAGTTTTCTCTGTAACCTATCGTGAGCTCGGATTTTGCAATATGCATGAAGTTAATTAACACTATTATAAAGGGTGACTGATTTGATCAATAAATTGGAGTCGATGCTGATCAACAAAGATGGGTCGTCTCCCTTTCGCTTTCAACACACGTGTAATATCCTCCAGTTCTTGTTTCATGGTAAAGAAAGGGCAGATTTTGCCTTAATTCTTCTGCTGGTCCATGTTAGAGCACAGTCTCAGAGTAACAAAAGCCTTCTGGCAAGACCAGATCTGGTAAACACACCTTGCTATCAGGGCATAAGTCTACATTAAGCTACATTAAAACATTAGACTAAAGCTTTATGCACTGCTGTATTCAAATTAAGGGGCCAATTTTTCATCTGACTAGGATGACATAAACACAGAGGAAATCTGCTGACTTGAACGGAATGAGTTCAGCTTTACAGTAGGAAGCTGAGGGTAAAGTGTGGCCCAGCAGGTGCTGGGCAGTTCATGGCTGCAGTTTTTTTGTCTCCACTGGAGATTCCTGCAGTGAACACAAATCATCTGCTCCCCAGGAGGGGGGAAATGAGACCAAGAGAAAAGCTAACTGCTTTATACAGTGACATCTCTCTAACAGCCACCTTTTGCCCTCATCCTTGCTCTGCCCACTTGTAATCAAATAAATTGCTCTCAAAAACACAAGGATGGCTTCAGGCCTTGACCATAAGGTCTGTGAGCTCAGCATATGATTTTGGAAAGCAGACAGCGCTCCCTGAGGAACATCCCGAGTGAGCCAGCTAGCAGAGGCCTCCCAGCAGTGCAGATCTCTCAGTGCCAGGATGCTCCAAGCTGGCACCAGAGCTAAAGCCCTCCCACCCTGCAGTGCAGCTCCAGCCCTGGTGCTGCAGCGGCTGTGGCCGGGCTCTTGCCGTACCTCGATGTCCTGGTGTCCCTGGGGGAGGATGGTGCCTTGGCTGGGATTGATGGTGAACTCCTTGGGCTCCAGATAGAAATGAATTCCGTTCCTCCAGGATGGGTCACCTTCTCTGCGGATCTGATCCAGGCTGTCCACAGCCGGCTGCGTGCCATCGTCCGACATGCGGAGCTGGAACGTCACGGGCACCGGGGAGCTGTTGGTGAGGCGGCAGCACTGCGTGTGGGGAAAGCCTGGGCAAGGACACAAATATCCATTCAGGCACCCAGCAGGGCATGATCCTGGGGGAATATCCTGGCAGGATCAAAGTGGCATTGGAGTTGAGCTCTTTATGATCTGAACTACAGCTCACCCAGAAGCTGCGTGAGGAATTAATCGTCACTTAGCTCCCTTTGACACAGATTCCAGACTGCAGCCTTGAAAATGCCCACTCCTAGCCCTGCTGAACACTGCAAGCTTCTCTCTTGGGGATGGGGACGAGCTCCCTCACCTGCCCCAAACCAGCACCAGTTCTCTCTCAGTGATGAGTGTGCACCCAGACCCAGCATTTACTCTGAGAATTCAAGCTGTAAAATTCCCTGTCAAGTCTGCCAACACTCTCAGTTTTCAAGATATATAAACAGTGAGTTGTCCTTGAGAAGAAGCTACAGCAAAAAAAAGTGAGGATGGAATCAGGAACTAGAACATGATGCATTTAATGCAGCTTGTCTCTGCAGGACCCTTAAGGCATCTCTTGCTTTGGGCCAAACAGACTGAGCACGTGACAGCTCAGAGCCCACTCAACTGGGGGCACAGCCAAGCCTTGCTTTGAGATTAGCAATTAGGAACCAGGTCCCACCTCAGCCCACAAACAGGGACATCACAGCCATGCTGCTCACTGAGAGTGCTCCCTGCAAGGGTTTACCCCACTTTGGCTCTGAGATTTGCAGAGATACAGCCACTCATGGTGGGGATGTCCCGCAGGGTGCGCAGAGCAGCCACAGCCTGCTCTGCAGTGCACATCTGGCCGGGCTGGCCAGCTCTGTGGGGAGGAGACTTCTCCCCAGGCCTGCTCACCAAGAGCATCTGGGACACAGATGGGGAGAAAAAACAACTGCAGCTGCAGCCCAGAGCTTCTCTGTGCCCATCCAAGTGACCACTGCCAGCTCCAGCAGGGACTCCGGCAGGGAGGCAAGGGAGGCACAAAAAGGACAAACACAGATGTCAAAACCTCCAATGAGACTGAGGCCAGCACATGCAGACAACAATCAAGAGCTGAAAAGAAGCAAAGACAAAACAGCTGCCTTCAGCTGAACAGACTTCAGGAATGAAATCAGATTAAGTAGGGTGAATCTCCTGTTTCAGAACCATATTTCCATCTGTTGCCTTTCTTCTTCCATTTATTCAAAAGGCAACCTAACAAGTGCCTCAGTGGTGATGCAGGGTGGGGAAGAAGCAGCTCAGGAAAGGCAATGAGTTTTCTTTAAAAGTTCATGAACTTCATTAATATGGGTTTAGGCTTCATAGTGAATATTCCCCTTGGTCTGGGAAGAGGGACAGGAGTTTTGGGGTGGGCTTTTCTGAGATCCCCACAGCTCCTCCTGCCTTTGAACACAACTACGCCAAAGGGGAAAAACACTACTTGGGGGGTTGGAAACTTCTGTTCTTGTGTTCTTGTTTGTGCTGTCTTGATATATTCTAGTAAAGAACTGTTATTCCTTTTCCCATATTTTTTTGCCTGGAAGCTCTGTAGTTTCAAAAGTATAATAATTTGAAAGGGAAGTTTTTCTCTTTCTGTTCTAGGAAGATTCCCCTTCCTTGGCAGACATCTGTCTTTTCAAGCAGGACAGAGACACCAGAAAATACTGACTTTCCATTCCTTGCTTCTACTGGATCTCACAATGGCAAAAGGCTACCTGAGGCACCAGCAGCCCTGGAGGTCACAGCCTGAAGAGGCTGCTGTGGCAGAACATGAGTGACAGATGCTTTTATGTCCAAGGGCTCCATTTTGGAAGGCACAGATCCCTGACGCTGTGTCCAGCCCAGGGAACACTCACCAAAGGAGATCTCACCGAAGTTGATCTCATCGACATCGAACTCTAAGCTGGGCACGGTGACGCTGCCCCTGGAGGACAGAGCAGGCAATGGCTCGGTTAAAGGCATTGCAAGGGCCTGGCTGTCACGGCTCGGGGGCACAAAACCCGGGCTCAGGGCACCCTGGGTTTCCAACCAACACAGCCCCGTGTGCTCAGCACAGGGCCCTGGGCACAGGAGGCAGCTCAAGCCAAGGGGCAGCAGCCAACAGCCCCTGATGGGCTCTGGGCACAGGGCAGGCAGGAGAAGCCCCCGGGTTGCTGGGGGTCCCATGGAGGACCCTGAACACACACCCAGACATGGCTCCGTGCCTCAGTTTCCCCATCTGCAATGGCATGGACATCAAGGTGTCCCCACAAACTTCTGTAAGCAGCCCTTCCAGCCACAGCTTCCCTGCTTTGCTCCTTCTGAGCTGCAACTGCTGTTCCCATGGAGGAGCTTTCTCAGGAGAGTTTGACCCACACAATCATTACAGACAGTTTTGAGACATGAAGCCAGGGGAGCCCCAAACATCCTCTGAAAAGAGCAGCAACAGTTCTACACAATGGACAGATCAATCCTAGAGGCAAGGACCAGCTTGTCAGCAGTGCACCAGCTGGCACAGCCAAGAGCAAGAGCTTCAACAACCAAACAAGGCTGTCCTGAATCTAGCACAGCACCTCACCTGTCCTTCAACTCAGCAGACACACTCCAAAAGCCACCAACATACACTGAAATCAGCACTTGAAGCTGCACAACACTCATGAGTTTATTTCATGATTGATGCCAATCAGTGCCCACTCTGCCTTTTGGTTCAAAATCAAGGAGCAGTGAACTGTGCTTTGTGTGGTACTCACAGGACTGCCCCTGGCTCTGCTCTGCACACCTCAACAAGAGACACCTGCCCTTGCTCAAGGAGAAAGCTGCTTATGCAGAAACACCCCATGACCACTTTGGGGGAGGGACAGAGGAGAATCAATTCTTTGATGGTGAAAGGTTCCCTCTTGATTTCCAAACGAATAAAGCAGCACCTTTCCTCCAAAAGCAAAGCCAGCATCATTGTTTCTCCACTATGGGCAGACCTACTCACCACTTTTCTCTTGCTAAGTAATAACTTTCTTGTTCTTTTTAATCCATTTCCCTTATCTCATTGGTATAATCCAGTTTTCATTTCTTCACTGCCTTGAGCCAGTGCCTCCCAAGAGCAGCAGCCCAGCTCCAAACTGCAGAGCAGCCAGCATCAGCTCTCCTGCTTCCACTCCATTATCCCAGCAGCACATGGCTCAGGCTGGCAGGGACAAGGCCTCACGCTGCTGTGGTGCTGAGCACTGAGCTCTGCCTCCCCTATGATCAGCCCTTCTCCCTTTGGCTGGGCCAGGATTGTCTCTTGCCATGGCACCAGCCCATGGGATGGTGCCCATGTCCCTGGCACAGTTCCTGCTGCCCAGTTCCTGACTCCCACATCAGCCCTTTGCTGGCTGTGCAAAGGAGGCACCAGAGCCCTCTGTGCACAGGAGCTGGGGGCACAGCTTGTCCCCACAGCATGGCTGGGAGAGGGGAGCTGAGGCTGCTGCTGCCCATCTGGCACGGAGTATTCACACAAGGTTTTACAAACACTGCTGCTGCTGCAGAATCAGCCAGGCTGGCCCATCTGCAAAGCCCTGGGCGCCTTGCTGGGTGTTCAGGTGGGACATCCCAGAGCAGCTGCTGCCCAAAGCTGATCCATCCCACTGCCTGCCATGGCCCAAGGCACAGGGAGATCCCTGCAGGGAGGAGTCATTGCAGCTCCTGGGTACCACACAGGGCAGCAGGCAGCCTCACACTAAGGCAATGCCAGCATCAAAGCAGAGATTCAGACCTCAGGATACACCTTTGTTCTCTGCTCCACCCCAAAAGGAGGGAGGTGGGGGATGTCCCAGAGACAGCCACAGATGTGCCCACCCAGCTCCCAGGGTCCTTACTTGATGGTCAGGATGGCAGGCATAGGAGATCCAGCCACACTGAACTGGACCTCCTCCGCAAAGCTCCCCAGCACGGTGGCACTGAAGGCGATCTGAATAGTCTGGTTCCCACCTGCTGCAATGATGCCCTCCTCGGGCTCAAACTTGAAGCAGGAGCCCACGTTGGTGGTTGAAGGGATATAGATGAAGGGAGCATCAAGAGCTCCTTCATTAATCAGTTCCACCTGCAGAAGCAAGAAAGCAAAATGGAAATCCATGTGGAACCTTCCTTTCTTGTGAGTTATTGTCTAATGATGCAATGAACACCCAGAAAAGGCAGAAGATGCTTTGTGCTGCTGAATGGCAGAAGTCCAAAGATAAAACAGGACAAGTTCTGCCTTTGGGTTTTCATGCAGAGCAGTGGCAACTCCACAGAACTGCAGTCACCCTGGGCTTATCCCATGGACACAGAGCAGTGCCCCTCTGCTCAGCAGCACCAAGTGCATTGAGAGCTGGCCCTGAGAGCAACGTGGGCTGATTGCAGCTGCGTAGGGAATCACCCCAGAGCTGCTGCTGCCCCAGTGAGCACAGCTCCAACAGCACCATCTGCTCATTCACCTTTTCCCAGACCATGAAAACAATACATTGAGAATGAGGCATCAGCATCAAAACATAGAGACAGCACCATCTTTTGGTGAGAAAACTCAGGGTGTCTTTCCCTTCCACAGCCACACTTTTGAAAGTGTCTGGCATGATGTAGAGCCTCATTTTCTACATCTTTCAGTTGCTCTCCTTGATTTATTTTTGTTTTCTGGAGGGAGAGGTAAATAGGTAGAAAACTCCTTTGCTTTATTCCCAGGAGCACTTTTCTCTTTCTCGGGTCAGAGATGCACCGAGGCCAAAGTGTGGTGAGGGACTGGTCAGCAAGGAAAAGAACTCCCAAGCCTTTAGCAAGGGCCAGCACTGAGCCAGGAGGCTGGATGGCTTTCCTGTGACTTCCAGGAATAGGCAGGGACACTTGACTGGAAGCTGTTTGCAGTGGGCTGAAGCCCAAGGCAGCCAGTTTGTTGCAGCTGCTTCTGCAGAGCCCAGTGCAAAGGGGCCTTGTGTCTGGCACTGCCACAAAAGCCTCTGAACATGCAGCTTTTGGAGCCAGTGCTGGTTTCATGTGCCAAGGGGTTGTTTTGCAGGAAGCCTGCCAGCTGATCCCTAAGGAAGGCTGCCCAAAAGCAGGGACTGGGGCTTCAGGAACAACAGACACACCTTTGTGACCCCTCAGATTTGAGCAGTACAACAAATATTCCCTGCTCACAAGTGCCCAGGTTGCCAGGAATTCCACAGCTCCATCAGGCTTGCTGCTGCCTCAGGAGCCATCAGGATCCATCCCAAGCCCTGCTGCTCACCTCATGGATGTGGGAAGAGTTGACAAAAACACTCCCAATGTTCAGTGTATGAGAGCTGAATTCGACCAAGGGTCCTTGGCCTTCCCCTCTGAGGCGCAGGGGCAGCCTGCTCTCACGGCCTGGGGAGAGATGTCCATTGCAGTACAATCATTCCCTCTGCTCCGCTGCATTTTCCAGGCTGGATGCAACCAGCTCCTGATGCTGCAGGAGAAGATATGCACCCTTCTCTTCCCTCAGGAGACATCCCTTGGGGCTGACTTCTAATTTCTAACCCATTCCTCGGGCTGCTTTCCAATTTAAACCAGCAGTCTGCTGAGTTTAAAACATCTCCTGTCCTGTAGTGACAGGCCAAGGAGTAATGGGTAGAAATTGAAAGAAATTTAGGTTAGATATTAGGGAAGAAATTTTTTACTATGGGGGTGGTGAGACACTGGGGCAGATTCCCCAAGGGTGAGGCTCCAACCCTGAAAGTGTTCAAAGCCACGCTGGATGGGGCTGGATGAGCTACCTGATCTAGTGGGAAGGGACTAGATGATCTTTAAGGTCCATTCCATCCTGAACATGCTAGAATTCTGTGGTTTCTTTCCCATGCACTTAGAGGAGCTCTGAAATCCATTCAGGGAAGGCACAAAGCTCATTAAGAGCAAATTGCCAGGCAGCAATTGCCAAACTACCTGGCCCAGTAGCACACAACTTCATTGCCAAAGTCCTCAATTTCTGACACTCAGCACTGTGTTCTATTTCCACAGACTGTGAGCTGCCAGGTGACAATTCCCACACAGGGACAGAAGCAGGTGCTGGCCAAGGGTGCTCCTTCTACAACCACCCTGGGCTCAGTGGGGCTCAGCCATGTCTGGGCACTGGGAGGTGATCCAGGCTCAGGGAGCACATTTATAATTCAGCTCCTGCTGCCTGATGATGAATCCACGTCAAATGGAGCCATCCTGGAGGTGTCTGGAAGGGCTTAGTGCTTGTTCACTAAAGCTGCTCTGCTCTGTAGCTCTTTGGCCTTTGAGGAAATGCTGGCAAAGCCATGGCATGAAAACTTCTCCCTGCACTGCCTGGGTTGCTCTGGGATTGGTAACCCAGACACGGCTGTTCTGAGCCCTGGCCCAGCACGGGAGACTCTCTGGAAGCTGCAGGGCCAGGGGGGATGTGCCAGCACTGCCCTGCTGACCAGGGACTCTTCCCAGCAGTTCCATGGGAGCCCAGGCTGGCACCATGTCTTCACTGTGGGTGAGAGAAGCAGAGGGAAGGAGCTGTACCTGAGATGCTGAGGTAAGCCGTACTTTGGTACCCCAGGACGTCCAGGGGTTTAAAGGTCACTCTGATTCCGGCCGAACAATTCGGCCCGATTTCTCCCTCCTACAACAGAAAGACAGCAAAACATTTCTCTTCAAACTTCGTGTTTCTTGTTCTCAACCACAGTCCTGTAAGCCTTGATTTAGAGCATCAATGACGAATGAACAACACAAGGAGCCCAAGGAAACGCTCCAAACCCAGCTTAACATAGTGCTGGAAGCTCTCAATGCTCAGCTGATTAGCTCCCACTCTCCACAATATTCCTGCTGCTCTGACACAAGCTCTTGGTCCCATCATGCTGCTGTCAGCTACAGTGGGATGCAACTGCCACTGTGCACTTGGCCTCAGATGGGCCATAGGAGTAACCAAGAAGAGATGATGATCCCCTTCCTTGGAAATAAAAATATTAGTTTAATCTGTTTTGAAAGAAAGCAGAGGCTGGCATTATTCTAGGGTTTACTCCAAGATAAGAAGAGATTTTGCACTGTGCAGACAGCAGGCATTCATCATCTCTCACAATGCCAGTACTCAGAATCAGGGCTCTGGTTGATGGGAGCACGTGGCAGTTTGCTTGCATCACCAGAAAAGGAAAAGGTTTTCTGTCCCTGTGTGCAGGAGAAGTCCAAAGGCCCATTTCAGCCTTCCACCCTTGTGTCCAGGCTCACAGATGACGCTGGAAGGGACACTCAGAAACAGTGCAAGGCATGGTTACAGGAGGGGATTGGCATTTCTGTCATTAACTGGGGCTGAATTTGGCCTCCTTTTGCCAGGGAACCATTGCAAGCTCCAGGTCAGTGTGAGCTGGCAGTGCTCCAACAGCCTCTGCTGAGCCCCACGTGTGGGGGGAGCCCCTGCCGACAGGAACTGCTCCCTGGGACACTGACAGGACACGCAGGCAGTGCCTTGAGCTCGAGCCTGGCAGCAGAGCTGGGCTTTGTCAGGCTCCCAGCCCTGCCTGGAGCCTGCAGGGCACAAATGCTTTGAGCAGGGAGCTCTGCAGCCGCTCCAGAAAGGAGGAGGAGGAGCAGGGAGGAGGAGGAAAATGGGGTTCTCACCTATCACTTACCATTGGCTCAATGAAAAAAATGTCATCGGAGAACATCATGGAGTCTTCTTGCACCTCTGCCATCTTCTCCTGGGCCATGCTGGTCAGGAGGGCAGCGCCATCTTCATCTTTGTCCTCCTCTGATTTTTTCTCCTCCGTGAATTTTTCCAGCCTCACCTGGCTCGGTGAGTGCAGCAAACTGCGCCGCCTGCAGCCCCAGGGAGAGACAAGGCCAGCAGATGGTTTCATGAGCCACAGATTTGGAGAGAGAAGTGTGAGTGCAGGAGAGAAAGCACTTGGGGAGGAGCAGCAGCAGCTCCCCAGCAAGGGCTGACCCCAAGCCATGGGAGTCCCAGATGGATCAGAGGACAACTTGTTCACTGGCACAAGGGAGTTTTGCTCCACACTTGCAAGCTCAGGGGAGCTTTCCAAAGCCAGAAGCCCTCAAGAGAACCTCCTGGCTCAAAGCCTCTGCCAAAACTGAGGGAGAATCCACCGACCACCTCAGCTGGCTTTTCCCACCACTGAGCTACTTGGGGAAAGCAGATAAAAGATCATGGAGCAGGACTTCCCTGGGAAGGGGAGATGAAGCTGGGTTGCAGCTACGTGTTACCAGCATCACTCTTTGTTTCTTTCACTTTGGACCTGCCCCGTTCCCTACTCTGCCTTCCCAAGAGCATCCCAGAGCACTTCCACAGGAAATTGATGAATTCAGGCACCACATCCCTTCAGTGACATTCAAGGCTTTATATGCATGAAAACAGAGGCTCTGAGAGGGGAAGGGACTTTGTTGTGCAGGAGGGAGACAGCAAACTCCTGGAGTTTCATGATCCACAGCTTTCTGGGTCCCATCCCAGTGCATGGTAGTAGAATGTCCTGAAAGGGAAAGGATCCTGCACTATCTCCTCTCATAAAAAGTTCTCTTTGCTCTGAGATCTCAAAAGCTTCTCTGGCAGAAGGACAGTGGCCTTGGAGCTAAAACTATTCCTGCGACTGGAAGTAAGGAAGAACAACATGTCCTGGTGACAGTCTAGGACACAAAGTGGCATAAAACCAGATGCAATTGGAAGAAACCCCACAAAAGCAAAACCAAGTTGAAGTTTACTTTGGGGAAACGTAGTTGCTTCTGAGGGGAAAGTGGATCACCTGGGGTCCAGGCTGAGGCAGGCAAGTGGGAAAAAATGGAAATAAACAGCCCAGGGAAGTAGCCAGAGAAGGTCATGGGATTTTCTTTTACCACACAGAGCTTGTATGGAAGTCAAACACAGTGTAAGGAGATAGAGAACAGTGGCAAACCAAGAAGCCCAGGGCACTAAAGGACCCTCTCACCAGCCATTCAAGCGGGCAAGGGTCGATCTCCTGGTCCTTTGCAGGCAATTTAAAATGGCTCTGGGGAGTGCAAGTGACCTGGCCTGCAGCACACAGGGGCTTGCCACGGCACTTTTGGCCCAGCAGTTTTTCAGTTTTCGCTTGGCTGAGCAGAAAGGGTGCAGTGACTCACTCTCCTTGTGTAGTGGGTTGTGTCTATTTGCTGGTTGTGAGGTGCAAGCCTTTTTTTTTTCTTTCTTTCTTGTTTCTGCTTTTTTCTTTCCCTAGCAATGGTTTACAAATGATGAAAAGCCCTTGCTGCTGCTGCTGCCAGCAGGAGTGCACTAACTCAAACAGAACCCTTAGAAAGGACGAAGCTGCCCAGGCCCCTGGCTGCAGGGAGGGTCTGGCCTGGTGCTAAGATCAGGGGTTAGTGCAAAAGACACCTGTGTGTGGAGTCAGCAGGTGAATGATCTGCTCTGTCCCATAGCAGAGCTTAAGGAAGAAGTGGAAAGGCTGAGGAGCATTAGGGAGAGTGAAAAATAAACAAACTGGTGGAGTTACACCCGTCCAACCCTGAGAGAAGCTCAGCAGGAACCAGAGGAGCCCTGCCCATCTTGTGAGCAGGCAGAAGGAGGAGACCTAAGAGACAGTGGGGAATGGAAATGGGTCTCTACAGGAGAGGTAATAAAATTCTGTCCTGACCCCCATCACCTGCCCAGGTGCCCTGACAGAACAGGTATGAGGCCCTGCCTCCAGAGGGTCAGGCAGATGAAGGAACAAATTCTGTCTGGAGAGTCTCCCAGTTGCACGTGGTCTGTCAGACAGATCACAGCCTCAAGTATTAACAAGAAGGGTGGTGGTAGTAGGTGACTCCCTTCTAAGGGGAACTGAGGGCCCTGTACATTGACCAGATCCATTCCACAGGGAAGTGTGCTACCTCCCTGGAGTCCAGGTACTGGATATCACAGGAGATCCCCCAATGATAAATTAGGGAATTTAGTTCCCTAAATGAACTTGATCTGTTCACCACTGTCTGGGGTACAGTGACCGTGAAATAATCGAGTTCTCAATATTTGGTGAAACAAGGAGGGGCATCAACAAAACTTCCACTCTGGACTCCTGGAGGGCAGACTTTGGCCTGTTCAAGACACTGATTTGGAGAGTGCCTTGGCAAACAGCCCTTAAATACAAAGGGGTCCAGGAAGAATGAAGATATTTCAAGAAAGAAGTCTTCAAGACACAGGAACAAACTGTCTCTGTGTGCTGAAAGACAAGCTGATGGAGAAGACAACCAGCCTGGATGGGCAAGGAGCTCTTGAAGGAACTAAGGGGAAAAAAAAGAGGGTGTGTCACCTTTGGAAAGAGGGGCTAGCAACTCAGGAACTGTTTAAGGATGTTGGTCATGTAGGAAAAAGATTAGAGAGGCAAAAGCCCAATTAGAACTTGAGGAAATCCAGTCATTGCAGCCAACCTTTCCTTCCCAAAATGCCATCCTTGGTTGGAGTATAAATGGAACTGGAATGCTGAGTGCTGAGCTCCTGAAGCCCAGGGTGACACACCCCACTGCCAGGCATGGTTTACTTGGCCTAAACCATTCAAAAGCACCAACACCCCCTGAGGCCACACATCAGTTTCAGTCCTGGACCATATATCTCACTGAAATGTATCTTTCAAACCAACCTCCTCTTCACTTCATTCTCACGTTCCTCAGTAGGAAAAGCCTTCCACTGGAAGTGGGCTGTGATGTTACTCCTGTTTTCAATGAACACGGTTCTGTGGGTAGATGTGGTGATGTAGGTGGTGTCAACGTGCACGATATTTGTGCTCAGCCCAACGTTGACATCTACAGCTTCTCCATAGAGCTTTGTGTGGATTCTTTCTTCACCTGGAACAAAGCAAAGGAGAGTCTTTGCTCAGCTCACTGGCTGATGGAAGCACAAGGAACAGAGCAAACCACAGGGCACAGAAGAAGGTGTCCCAGCTTTTAGTTGCATTAGCAGCTCTGTGCATCAGTCCGTTTATCACATCCTGACAGCTCTGTGTGTGTAGAGCGTGGGGATGTCCTGGGCAGCTCCTTAAACACCTTATTTCTGAGAGTGTTTGTGGAGATTTGGCCCCAAGGTGACAGGATGGACAGGGAGATTGGTCCATGTGCTCTGGTGACCCACTCAGATCACCAGGATTTCTGATTTCTGCATCCAAGTCCTTCAGGTGACAGGGCTGAGAAGCCCTGCTCAGTCCTGCCTCAGGCTCTCCCCAGGCATCCCAGGAGACTCCTGTCTCTCCTGATCCCTTGGATCCCTTCTTGCTGACCAGCAAATATGCCTGGGGGCAGGTGGGCAGCAAAAGGAGCCCCAGAGGAACAAGTGAAGTGACAGCCCACAGCAGGAGGGGACACAGGTGAGGAAACACAGCCAGCCTGGCTCTGCAATGTGACATACCACTACAAACTGAACACCATGAAAATTATCATCATTTCCTGTCCAAACCCACAGCCACATCAGTCTTGAAATATTTTATATTGCTGTGATTTCAAAAACCAAGCTGGAGTATTTCAAATTAAATAAAAAAGGGACAAAGGAATGATTAATAAGTACAGAGCAGCTTCTTTATGAAGACTGAATGGGATTCCTCAGTCTAGAAATCAAATGGGAGATAGATGTGAGAGGTCTGCAACTGCATGAACGACCTGGGAAATGGGGATGAGGAAGACTTTGTCTTGACTTGTCACCAGCCAGGAACTCGAGGGCCTGAAAATGTTATTAGGCAGAAACTACATTTATGTGTAGAGGGCAACATAGAAAAAGGGTCTGTGACAAGCCAATGGAGAAGTAGCATATGGGACAGAGGTGTGCAAGAATTCCATTGCATTGGAGAGTCTGATGGAAACCTCACACCTCTCATACAGCACTGCCCAGGAATAAAATAAAACTTCACCCAGGCACAGCCCCATGGTAGTGGAGAATTAGGGTTCCTCCTCCCTCCACTCAGCAACTCCCAGCAAAACAGGAGTCCAAAAATCCCCTGTTAGAGGGGGTTTTATCAAGTCCCCAAACACCAAGGAGTTCTCAGGTTTTTTTGGGGTAAATCTGGAACAGGGAGGAACCTCTAGAGGGAATGAAGGGGATGGACAGCAGGGAGCCATGGTGGACAACTGTCCTGTGCCCTGCAGGGCCCAGCACTCACCTGTGCTGCAGCTCAGGAGGCTGCAATGGTCACCCTTGGTCAGCGGGTGAAATGTCACTGTCACCTGCAGGGTTTCACCAGCGCCCAGAGTTCCTGTGGCCGGCACCACGGAGAAAGGGCTGCAACACAGAGAGAGGGGTCAGGCCTGGGGACACCTGGCCATGAGATTCCTGCTGCACTGCAGCTCCCTTGGGCAAGCAGGGAGCAAACCAAGCACAGGCAGCAGAAGACAGGACAGGATCACAAACAGCCACTGAGCCACTGCTGAGAAGATCCAGCCCTCACAAGATCCTGGGGGTAAAATGACCTCAGCTCCCCCATACTCTGCATCCAGCTCTCTGCAATGAGCCTCAAGGCTCCCACTGCCAGCAATCCCATCAGAGAATGGTTTGTGAAGAGCACACAGAGGGTTCAGAGCTATCTGCATACACAACTTGACACTTACTGCCTAAGGAATTCCTCTTTTCCTGCTGCCTATAAATCGCATCTCAAGAGATGCAAATGTTAGGGCACTACCTATTCTGTGAGATTACAGCCTAGGAATCAGACGGGGAGAAGGAACTTTTCCTTGAAGATCGAGGAATAATTACTGTTGAATTTGTAGTGTAGTTCTTTGGTTTATTTTGCCTTGAAAACATGCTGATTTAGCCTAAAACGGGCACATTTTATCAGCATTTCAATGAAAGCTGCTCTAAGAAAAGGAGCAGTCAA